ATAACACATTTTGGTAGATCATAAAAATTACCTTATTTTCCCTGTGAGTGTCCCATAAATCATTCAAACTTGTAAATTTTAATGTGTTGAAGAATTTTTAAACATCAGACATGTTTTTAGCTTTTGGAAATCAAATTTTCCATTAGGGTTGTATGAAAAGAGTGGACTCTTAAGAGTCCTTCTGAATAAATATTAATTCTCCTTGCTAATCTTTCAGAAATAAATGTCATTAAACATGAGTTTTATATTTAAGATGGGAAGCACAAAAAATACATCAAGCAAGAGACTACCACCTGAAAGCTTTACTCAGTATTTATAGGATCAAATGTTTCCTATTGTAATCACAAATACAATGTTTATTTCTTTAGTGTTGATGGTTTTATTTTTACTGACATGTAATTGCTTTATTGATATTGAATTATCATTCTCATATTTCAGGCAATTTGTCAAGAATTTGATTTTAGAAAGCATCTTTGCAAAGCATCCTTGTTTAAAAAATATCCCTGGAAATAAAAATGTGATTTTTAAATACAGTAACTCATGGAGGAAAACTGTAACCAATTTTATAAAGTATTGATTTTAAAATTGTGCCATTTTTGTGTACATTATCCTAAAAAGTGATAGTTAATCTTGATTCAATATACTGTGCAACTCCTGAAATGTACATTTCACCATGAAATCATATATCAAAGTCTAAAAACTTTGTTCTCATCTTAATTTTGAAAAAGAAACAACAGAGTCAATAAGAACCTTTATTTTAGTAAAGTGATCAAATGTTTTATGTTTTACATCTTATTCCAAAAATGATATAGTGTTGTATAGAAATATATCAAGCAATGGGATGACATGAAGTAGATTAGGAAATTAGAATGCTAGGAAGTAAGAACAGAAAACTAATACTTTGCAATTACAGTTTATATTAGTGGATTTCATGAATAGAAGTCTGTATATTTTTTTATAAAGGACACATGTAAATTTGGTCTGAGTTTCTCTTTTCAAAGTGAAGAGTAACTCATGAGCACATTCAAGATTTATGGGTTTAGAAGAAAAAAACAAACCACATAACTAGAGAATCCTTTCATTTCCCAAGACTATAAGAATGAATAGAAATGTATTATGTAGATTTTCATAGTGGCTATTGTGTAGAATACTGGTTTCAAACATCCTTATGATAACAGACTCTCTTCTGTGAAGGTTGATAGGCACACTTGAACTCAAACAAAGTTTTAGAAACAACAAAAATAATATGGAGAAAGTATATAATTATCTGATGGTTTGACATGATCTAAGAATAAGCTCTAAATTAAAGAGGGAGATTCTCTGAGTTTTGGGCCACTTTGAAATTCTGATGAATGAATATATAGTAGATGTTCAGTAAGGACTTCATACATACACACACATTTCTGGATAGTACATGAATATTGGACTAAGAATCTTCAATATTCAAGGATGAATGGACTTCACAGTCTTTTAGGTATTCTTTTTTATTTAGTTAAAAAACCTAGAAATAAGGGCAAACATGATATTTACTTCACTATTCAAACTGAAAGGGAAAAGAATAGATTTTTTTTTTTTTTGGTCGTGGTTCTTAAACTCTGGGCCTGGGTGCTGTCCCTGAGCAGTTCAGCTCAAGGTTAGCACTCTACCACTTGAGCCACAGCGCCACTGCCGGTTTTCTGGTGGTTAATTGAAGATGAGTCTCATGGACTTTCTTGCTCGTGCTGGCTTTGAACTGTGATCCTCACTCAGATCTCAGCCTCCTGAGTAGCTAGGATTACAGGCTGAGTCACCAGCATCCTTTAAGAGTAGGTATTTACTAGTAGTTTAAGCCAGTACTTATTTCTGGCATTCTTACCTGGGATTTCAGAGGAGTAATAATGCTATGATGCTAGTGCCACAATAAACAAGTAAATAACAATGGACAATGATTTGACAAAATTTAGTTTCAAATCTGAAAGTAAAGATCAGTAGCTCACTCAAGTCCACCTCAAATACCTTACTGAAGCCTTGCTTATGGAAACTAATACAATTTTGGCATTCTTACCACACTTCATCACAGTTTAGCACCCCTGGCATCTGAGTCCTTTGGCTCAGTGATAATCATTTCAGTCTGGTCAAATACTATAGGGGAAAAAAATCCCCAAATAGAATAGATAAACCACTTTTAATATGAATAATCATATGCAGATCAAGTTCTTTGGCAAAAAGTATGTCAGTTGATTTTTTTCCTCATGATTCAAATATTGCTATTTTTTCTGCCTTTACTAAAACCACGTGTGTGTGTGTGTGTGTGTGTGTGTGTGTGTGTGCGTGTGTGTGTGTGTGTGTGTGTAAGTGTGTGTGTCCTAGGCTTGACCTCAGGGTCTGTGTGCTGTTCCTGAGATTTTGTGCTCAAAGGTAGCACTCTACTACTTGACTTATTGATCTACTTCTGGTTTGGTTTTTTTTTTTCTGGTGATTAATTTGAGATAAGAGACTCATGAACTTTCTTTTCCAGGCTGGCTGCAAACTGCTATCCTCAGATTTTAGCCTCTTGAGTAGGTAAGATTACAGGCATGAGGCCACTGGAGCTGGTGGCACTTTTGTTTTATTTACATTTTATTTTATTTACATTATTTTTTTCTTTTTCTATTCTCTTTGATTGATTCCTTAAATTATTCTTTTCGATATGTCTTCTAATTCCCATTCCAGAATATTTGTTCTGTGATCAATTTTATCTTACTATGTGAATGCATTTATCAATCAGTGAAAATCAAAACATAAGGAAAATAAAGCAATGAACTTAGAGTTGACCACATATTTTTAAAAGAAAACCATTAATTTTTATTGCAGAATCAGAAACCATTATTATATTATGATACTGTGAATCTTTTAGCATACTCAAATAGACTGACATTCGATATGGATAGCAATCTAGCTCACAAGAAATCAACTGTAATTTACAAACACATTCAACTTAGAGAATCTCAGCAGCCTGTTAACAAAGTGCAGAAAACTTTTTTTTTTTAATGGTGTTAAGATCTCCAGAAACTTCTGGGTATTTTTAGTAAAGTTAGGAAAAAGCTACTCTAGTCAAGAGATAGACAATCTTTAGGTTTTAAAAACTGGTTGTCATAAACCACAATGAAACATTAGTCCTGGCATTCTTTTAAAAACATTTCAAATATCTAAGTTATTTATAAAAATTTAACAGCGAGGTAGAAAATACAATGAGATTTTGGGGGGGGGGGGTACATTTCTAGATTGAAAATATTTTGTCTTCTTAAGCACAAGAAATCAACTGGTTGCTGAGCTCAGTATTTTGCTGCATTTGCAGAATTCCAGGAGAAGACTGCTAGAACTTAAGGCCGCTAGTATATCCAATAATTAATTTACTGAAGTGTTTATTACAAAAATGATGTAGGGTCTTTATAGGGAACTTAAGACTGTCAGGAAGAGCTCCAGTCTACACATGGTCGAGATTCTTAGCCATGGACACTTTGAATTAATTCTGGGTATATTTGAGGTGGTATGGTGCCTTTTGTACAAGCATATTGTTAGGCATGCTTCAATCTATACCCATTTTTTTTTGTCTTGGTAACTGTTACATGAAATCTTTATGGTTAAAGATTCCAGTGAAGGAAGAAGTAAATTCTGCCTTCTCATATCTTTTTGGGAATGGTGATAATAAAATATTTTAAGAAGGAATAAGGGGGCTGGGAAGTTGGCTCAGTAGTAGAGTGTTTGCCTCACATGCATGAGGCTCTGGGTTCAAATTCCTCAGTACCACATAAGAAGAAAAAGCCAGAAGTAGTGCTGTGGCTCAAGTGGTAGGGCACTAGCCTTGAGCTAAAGAGCTGAGGGACAGTGCTCAGTCCCAGAGTTCAGCCCCCACAACCGACCAAAAAAAAAAAAGGGTGTATATATATGCTTGATTTTGGCCATGCAAATTAGCCAATGCTGTAATTCAGAGCTTTTTACCCTAGAGAGCCAGTTGTTACACCTTTACCATTTTGCTGATGAAATAAATGCCAGTTAACTTTTCTGACTAAGAAAACAACAGATTTTTCTCTCTCCATGCACTGGACAAGAATTCAACTTTGTGCTTTCCTGGCTGGAGGAAGGGTTTGATGGTGATGAAGATAAGACGTGGAAAAGCCACATTGGCATCTAGAGACATGGACACTTTGCAATACACCCTGCCTTATGGCACCTTCCTTCTATTCCTTGATGAGCTACTGCTACTAGCAAAGGAAGGGAAACACCACACCCTATTCTATCTTTTACTTCCCTATTAGGGAATGAAAGTTGATCTCCATATTTTCAGTGTTACTGTTTAGCTCTTAAGGTTTGCCTTATACAGCAGATAAAACTTACTTTACTATGACCAACACATTTGTTGTTGTTTATACATGGATATACTTCTGATAACAGTCACTTGATCCTTGATTCCCTTTCCATATTTTGGATGGTTTTGGTCTGGTTCTGGTTTCAGATGTAGAGAGTGCTCAGATTTGACTAGTGTCATAATGAGGTAAAGAGTGGCATGTAGCTACCTAGTCAAGGGTTCCACCATGCAGAGACAGTTGCAAAAACTATTGAGAAACAGTCATACACTCTTCTGTGCTGGGTATGAACCTGAGAAAATATAAACCAGAAGCCAGAAAAGAAAAAGATCCCACTAACATAGTTGCAGTTCCTTGATAAAACAACGCTTAGACTATGTTACTTTTAGATATATGTGTGTGTGTGTGTGTGTGTGTATATATATATATATATATATGTACATATATATATATATATGTTATGGAGCCTCTATAATAGAAGGAGAATTGAAACCCAAAAAAGTTTGTGACTATGGTTTCAGTCTTTTCTAGCAACTTGCCCAATTATTATATGTTGATATTCTCAAAAAATAATCTATATGTCCTTATTTTTGTAGAATTTTACTAAAATATGTACTCTAAAATATTTGCTTTACATTTAAATATAAATATATATTTTCCTGAAAATTAAAAGCAGAATTTATTTCAAAAGGCCTCTAGTGTCTCTTCTTAGGTAGGAATACTCTTTTTTGGCTCATTCAGAATTTTGACTGTTTTCACCTTCTGCAAGGCTCCTCCTCGAACAGGGAGCTTTTTAAGAGCAATATCTGTATCAGCTAGAGGGCCTCCCAATAAACGGACAGGCGTGCTTTCCACTGTTACTACCGGACCAGAGGATACCTAAAAAAGCAAATGTAAATACCTAAGTATTTTTAAAAAGTCTCAGTGAGGAAAAAAAAGTTATCCTACAGAAATAACATGTTGAGGGTCTAAACTTAATATTAAGAAAACAATGTGGAGGAAAATAATCTTACCGTTGTGTTAAGGCCTTTAATAACTGTTCGGTGACATACTGCATTATGTGGTCGTTCATTGTATTTGGAAGATTCTATAGCCTTTTCTTGAAGCTTCTTTGCTTTCTGAAGATTAAGTTAGAAAGGAAATAGTTGTTATTAAAGCATTAACTCATATTAATAATTACACATAAAGATTAAAGGTACATTTTATTGCATTTGGATTACTTTTTGCTATTTCTCAGGCAGTTCTGGATTTGTCTGCATTTATGCATTTAGGCTTAGAAGATAGTTATTAGTGTTAAGTTGAATCTTTTGTAAAGTAAAGAGACATCAGGAACCTAAAAAAATAATCCAATGATTTCCTGAGGAAATGGTCAGATTTGACCAAAGAGTAAAGCAGGTCTTCAGGAAGTCAGATTTCATTAACACATAATTTAATAAGATACTATATTTGTATCAAACTATGAATGTTTCTAAACAGGATGTATACAAGCTACTAGAATTGATTGATAACTTTGGCAAAGTATCAAGACACAAAACAAACCCACAGAAATCAGTAGCCTTTCTGTATATCAAAAATGTACAAGCAGAAAGGGAAATAAGGAAAACAACTCCATTTGCAATAGCCTAAAAAAATAAAGTACCTGGGAATAAACTCAATATATCAGACAAAGGTCTAATATCCAGTTTATACAAGGAATTCAAGAAACTACCCCCTCCCAAACCTAATAAACCAGTCACTAAGTGAGCATGGAAACTAAGGAGAGCTTTATCAGAAGAAGAAAGAATGGCAAAGAAACATATGAGGAAATGCTCATCATCACTGGCCAAAAAGGAAATGCAAATCAAAACTACTCTGAGATTCCATCTCACTCCAGTTAGATTAGCCAATATTGAAAATTTGAACAACAACAAATGTTGGGGATGAGGGGTAAAAGGTACCCTACTGCACTGTTGGTGGGAATGTGAATAGTACCACCACTCTGGATAGCAGTCTAACGATTCTTCAAAAAACTAAACATTGGCCAGGCGTGGTGGCTCATGCCTGTAATCCTAGCTACTCAGGAGGCTGAGATTTGAGGATTGCGGCTCAAAGCCAGCAAGGGCAGGAAAGTCTGTGAGACTCTTATCTCCAATAAGCCACTCAGAAAACCAGAAGTGGTGTTATGGCTCAAGTAGTAAAGTGTAAGCCTTAAGCTGAGAAGCTGAGGGACAGTGCCTAGGAACAGGGTTCAAACCCCATGACTGACAAAAACAAAAAACCAAAAAGGAAACATGGATCTTCCCTTCAACGCAGCCATGATAAAGACATGATAAAGACACCTGCACATCCATGTTCATTGCTGCACTATTCACAATAGCCAAGATATGGAAACAGCTCAGATGAGTGGATCAAAAAAAAATGTGGCACCTTTAGCCAGTAGAAAGAGTGAAATAATGTCATTTGCAGGGAAATGGGTGGAACTAGAACAAATCATGTTAAGTGAGGTAAGCCAAACTCAGAAGGCTCATGTTCTCTCTAATATGTGGAAATTAGATATAAAAGACACTGAGATATATGATAAGTTGTACAGGACTCTAGGCATTCATACACAGTGAGACGAAAGGAGGATATTCTTAGGAGAGGAACACCAAGGTGCAATACCTATCTGCATATGACATATAAAGTAATATTTATGGGTATGAACTCCAGGAAATGGATACAAGAGTTTTTTTTCTTTGTTGCTGTCTTTGTTTCCTTTATTTTTTGTCTTGTTAGTTTCTTTATCTGTCCTTGGGAGGGCAAGAGGGTCACAGAAATGGACGAAGGGTGAACAATTGCAGTAGTGGTACTCATTAGATACTATATTGAAAATGAACTATATAACTTGTGTGTGTGAGGATGGGAGGGGCAAGCTGGGAGAGAGCCAGAGAAGGGGTGACATTGTTCAAAAAGAAATGTGTTCTTTACTTGTAATTGTAACCTTTCTGTATATCACCTTTATATTAGCAATTAAAAATTAGGATGCATAAATTATGTACCAGTTCTGTATACTTAAATGTTTCAAACATTCAGAATAACATAAATTATATAATTTGTTCAATTGTTCCCATATCAATACTAAAGGCATAGAACAGGTGATGTGTGAAGCAACAAATGATCTTCAGGAAGAAGTTTCTTTTCATGAAAAATAGAGGTAATTGTAAGATTATCCCATGAAGTTAGGAAGAAGTTAGAAAGAAAGGGGAGGTATCTGGTAACTTGAGCAGGCTTGTTCTTATGTTTTGCTTTCTCACTTATGTTCCTCTATTTTCATGAATTAACAACACTTACCAATACCAATATTATGTAGTATTCAATGAAATATCCAAGGGACTCATGATAATGCAAAATGCATTATAGGATTGTTATGAGCATTTTTTAGACTATTTTCTCTTAGCTGAAGCAACTTACCACATTTTCCCCCTAAAGGGATGTTTGTATCAACTTCCTACTTCAACTTTGAGTTCTTTCAGTAATTACCCAGGGTAAAAGTCCTTGTGGAGAGAGTACTATGGGGTAGCTGCCTTTCCTGTTTACTCTGATTCTTACAAAAATATTTGAATATGAAGGCTCAAAGTGGAAAGTAATGCAGTTCTCCTGCTCATTCCTGGCTATCATCTTCCTTTACCTGGGCGTGAACATCACCCTTGCACTTTCTCTGTCCTTCCAAATCAAATGCAAAGCAGCCTTTCCTGTGACTGAAAATGCAGTTTGGGCTACTTAAATTGCATGTGAGACTCTAATAATGTGTGTATTCTACAGATAGGCCATCAGAAGATAGTAAATACATACTCATTTTGAAAAATACATGTCCTGTACAGCTGGTTATTTATAATAACTTTTTAAATAATAACTTTCAAATCTTACCTTTAGTGTTTTAATATTAGATGTTCTAGCCAAGAAATTTTCCCATGACTTATTAGCCAGTTCTCTTTGCTTGTTTGTTCCTTGTATCTGAAAGATAATTGAGGATTATAGTATTGATAAAAGAATACTAAAGGGCTTAGAGAAGTCCCTCTTATTTGCTTAAGGTAAATTTTAGGCTTGTTTATCAAAAAGGATTAAGTATTCATAGAACTTAAATTTTAAAAAACTCATTAAGTGACTGAAGTTTTATTTATTTTCCCATAAAAATAATGTAAAACTGATGAATATGTATTGTAAGGTCTGCACAGGGACACCTCCCTACCTCTTGGCTAAGTCTCTGCCCAGTATCTGTACCAGTACCTAGGTAATTGTCAGACCTGGAAGCAGTCACCTTCCCCTCCTGCTAAGTCACATCCTGGGCCTCCTCTGGTCTTATGCCTCCCATCTGACCTTAGGAGGGTCCCAGACACTGAGGTCATATCCAGATCCAGTGTGGCCACACCTTTCCCCCACCACACCTCTTCCTATCCCTGGCCTAGATAAGTCCTGGTCCAGAGGTGGGTTCCCTCCCCCCCACCCCTTTCCTTTTTAGCCATGCTTCTCCACCATGCATGGCAGGGGCAGCAGTTCTGTAAAAAACCTTCTCCGGCCTGAATAGGGCGTGGTGTTCACTTTATCGGCTACCTAATGAAACTATTTAATATACCTTACATGTATATATATATATATATATATATATATGTATATGTATATGTATATGTAATTTTATTTTTGCTGGCAGCCTGGGTGCTGCCACTGAGCTTTTGTGTTTAAGGCTAGTGTTCTACCACTTGAGCCACAGCTTCACTTCTGGCTCTTTTTGTAGTGTTTTGGAGATACAAGTCTCATGGACTTTCCAGCATTGGGTGGCTTCAAATTGTAATTCTCAGATCTCAGCCCTTGAGCAGCTAGGATTACAGGTATGAGCCAGCAGCACCTGGTGCATAACTGCTATTTTAATAGTAATTCTCAGCAAGACTGATTGTTTTACATGATTATCATTTATGAAAATAATACAATCCAAAGTATACTAAATACATGATTTAACAGTAAATTCACAGGAAAAAATAAGACATTCCCTGGTGGCTGCTGAAAATTAGTTTGGACAAAATTATGTTGGTGAAACTACTTCTAATTAAGTGAGTATCACGGCAGGCACTTTTTGTGAGTATCAAATTTGTTGTGGCCATGTAATCTAGAGAAGTGACTGACAAACTACAAAATGTATTCTCAACAGGCTACCTGTTATAATAAACATCATTTAGTTACTTTTTTTTGTTGTTGTTGGTTGTGGGGTCTGAACTCTGTGCCTGGGCGCTTCCCTCAGCAGTTCAGTTCAAGGCTAGTGCTCTACCACTTGAGCCACAGCGGCACTTCTGGCTTTTTCTGCTTATGTGGTGCTGAGGAATGGAACCCAGGGCCTCATGCATGCAAGGCAAGCACTCTACCACTGAGCCATCTTCCCAGCCCCAACATTTAGTTACTATGTCAAACATCCTGGTATTTAAAAGCACTAATGGTGATAACAAAGCAGCATAAGGTGCATCACAGAACAAACCATAGGTTAAATGGCAGGATTTACATTTTTTAAAAAGCCTTGTAAGAGTGGAGGTATGGCTCAAGTAGTAGAGTGCCAAACATGAGCATAAAAATATTTAGGAAGTAAAACTTTTGTTCAACTAGGTGTATAAGATGGAGTGGACTCCATAAGTGCACACCCACATTGTTCCTACGAGGCTGAAGATATATTTATAGTCTATGTGAAAAAGTCAGGCGTTAGCAAATACTTTGGAAATCACCAAAAAGAATTTAAAGTACATAACTGTACTTATAAAAGATCACAAAGCAGAAGTGAAGAATCACCATATTTCTGGGCAAGTTCATTTAAGAGACCACTTACCTGCTCAAAAACAAAGACCCATTCACTTTTCTGCCCTTGTAGCTTTAGGCAAACAAGTGATATGCTCCTGATAAGCCTTTACAGATTAGAAATAGCCAAAGACCAGTTTTTCCTCTGATTTGTAGAATGGGTGCTCATAGTATTTTGGCACTGGGATGAGGATGAATTTGATTGATTACTAGTTGCAAACTAGTAAGAATGAGAGAATAGGGCCAACTTTCGCTCTTATGGACTTATGCATGTAAATTCAAATAAATGATCTTACAGAATTTGTTAGATATATACATTTAAATAAGCTATAATTTTTGGAGCCTTATTGAACATTTCAGAAAACGGAAGTGATTTGGGTTCTCTTTACCTGTTAAAATATGACTATAGAAATATAATAATAATTATAATGCCATAAACATTATTGAACATATTAAAGCTTAAATTCTTAGTTCCATGATTTCTTTTAAAACTGCCAGAAGACACTCACAGTAAGTATGAGAAAACAAAATAAATCCAGCCTAAAATATTCATAAATATATGTCCTATATATAGTTTATAGTTTGAAATTAGCATCCTGTGCTTCAAACAATAGTTTCTGTGGCTTACTTTTGAATACACTTTTTGTTCATTTTGCATATCTTGGCGTATTTGGCTTTCAATCATTTCACTTTGCAAAGAAACAACCATCTTTCCAATATTTTGTGATGCTGTTATAATAGATTCCAAAATTGTTCTATCTGAAGTGACTGGACTTAACTTTTCCAATTTTATTTCTTCGTATATTTCATTCCATATTTCTCCAACCTGTTTAACAGAAGTTTACAAAATTAAATTAGCCAAAAATAGTTGATACAATTAGGTCATCTTTTTTATGTGGGTGGTCACTCCTGTTAACATTCAAGCTTTGTTTGAGGCTGGGAAGGTAGCTTAGCGGTAGAGTACTTGCTTCCCATGCATGAGGCCCTGGGTTTGATTCCTCAGCATCACATTAACAGAAAAAGCCAGAAATGAATGACACTGTGGCTCAAGTGGTAGGGCGCTAGCTTTGACTCAGAGACAGCGCCCAGGCCTAGAGTTCTAGCCCCACGACTGACCAAAAAAACAAAACAAAAAACATTCAAGCTTTTTAATTTACTTTTGGGGGATAAAGGGATAAGTCGTTTATTGGGAATGACTTAGGAACTAGTTACATTTGAGTATTCAGAAGTAATTTACCAAGTGCCTAGTTTACACCTGTAATGAGAGTCTGAGATCTGAAGATCATGGTTTGAAGCCAGCACAGGAAGAAAACTCTGTGCGACTCTAACTCCAGTTAAAAAGTTAAAACAAAAACTAAAACAAAAACAAAACAAAAAACCCAACTGGATTGGAGGTGTGGCTCAAGTGGTGGAATGGCAGCTGTAAGCATAATGCTGAGTAAGGGTAAGGGGCCCTGATTTCAAGCCCTGGAACTAGCACTAAAAGAAAAAAAGTAGAGTATAAAATGTTTTTCAGTGATTTAGTGTGTTCATTTATAGAGATCTACCACCTATCTATACCTAGTTCTCTGCTGTACTCCATGCCCTTTGGATTATAGTTGCTTTGTTTAGTTAGTTACCACAGAAATTGCTATTCTCAATTTTCTGAACTAGTGCTACTTTTCCTTCCTAAATCCCCATAATGAAGGCTAGGTCAAGCTGAACTGGTAGGAGAATGAACACATGAATTCCTGGGACCCCATTCAGGTCGAGCACTCACTGGCCCTTACCTAGCGAAGACAAGTCACAATTGAATGTTAGTTCTATGGTTCCATCAGCCAATAGCTTCATCTCATATTCTGATATGAATGTGCTGGAGTATTTAAAACTAGAGACGTATTTATGCAGCTAACAATTTGATAACTAATATTGTTTGCAAAGTATGAGCTTATTCATTAAAATTCATTCATTCAAAATTAGTAGAAAAAGGATATTTACTGAAGATTTTCTTAAAACTGCAAAAGCATTTAATTACTGATTAAAAATATAGACAGTAGTCAACTTTATTTCGTTTAACTGACTTTGGTGAAATGATGATTAATAATATATTGATAAAATAATACATAAGTGGTCTTTGATTTTCTTTTTGTCAGTTGTGGGGCTTAAACTCTGGGCCTGTGCACTGCCCTCAGTTCTTCAAGCTCAAGACTAGCGCTCTAGGCAAGAATGCTTGATAAGAAATGTACTCATTATCTTGCCCATGTAATTGTAACCCCTCTGTATGGTATTTTCATAATTAAAAAAAGAAAAGAAAACATGAAAAAAAAATACTAGCGTTCTACCACTTGAGCCACAGCGCCACTTCCTGTAAGTGGTCTTTAATAAATATAATTTATTTTAACTCCTGATGCTCTCCAAAGAAAAAAAATTATATGATAAATTTCTGTTAGGTTCCGTAACAGCTCTATATCAGTAATATCATCTTCTTTTATAAATACATAGTTGGGTGGAATTTTAATTTAATTTTATTTTTTTAATTTTTTATTATTTTGGCCAGTCATGGGGCCTGAACTCTGGACCTGGACACTGTCCCTCACCTCTTCAGCTCAAGGCTAGCGCTCTACCACTCGAGACATAGCGCCACTTCTGGCTTTTTCTGCTTTTGTGGTACTGAAGAATAAAACCCAGGACCTTATGTATGCAAGGTAAGCACTCTACCACTGAGCCACCTTCCCAGCCCATTGGATGGAATTTTATTCCTTGAAAAATACCAATTTAATGTTTTTTAAACAGCATTGATACAAAATAAAAACTATACATGAAAAAGCATGTGTATACAGATATGATCATATATTTTATTTCTCAATTTATTTTCTGCTACAAAATATTTTAATAATAAAGTTATTAAAATTACACTTACTTTAAAATCAAGATATCTGTGTATGATACAGAGGGTGACAAAATCTTCAGCAGATAGACCAGGTAAATTTTCAAAATCTAAACCAAGTGTATAAAGAGAAAATCACTTTGATTCCAAGAAGCATGTATTTATCATAAAAATAAATGTAAACATTTACTTGTGTTATAATCCTGATGTATGAAAACTTTGTGTGAAAATCAGCTTCTCCTGCCAGATCATCCTTATCTAGGCATTAGAAGAGAAATCATCCTTTCTGTAAGGTTCACAGAAAGGAAACTTCCACATGGTTTAAGCAGAAAAGAGTTTATTAGGAGGAGGGGCAAACTGGGCACCCGCAAGAGATGGAGTGGTGAGGACACTGAGGAGAAGGTAGAAGAGAAAAAGAAAGAGAGGGGGACTCGTGCTGAGCCAGACTGTATAAGAAAAGGCAGGAAGTGGGACCAGAGGGGATGCAGAAGTGATGCCTGGAAACCTCACTGTCTGAGGGAGATGTGACCAGGAGGCCCGGATCCTTTGCTGATTCAGTCAGGTGAAGAGAAGTGAGAAGGGGCCGTTCTTCCGAGCAGACCAAACACTTTCAATGTTGTGGTTAGAAGCCCAAGTTTAAGAGAACTTTTTCATTAATGAAAGCAAAGACTTAAAAAATCCCCAACCCAACCCAACCCAAAAAAGACTCAGGTAATTCAGAATGTTAATGTTTAACCCTAAACATCTAAACTAACTTCTTTAGTCCTGGCTGCACACTGGAAACTTTTAAAAAGTACTGCTGACTTAGAGACTCTGTGGTCAGCATTGCTGCTTATGTATTGGGAGACAATAGAACATGCATTTATTTGCATACAGGAAAGTTGATTCACAGAGGAATGGACTCTACAGTAACACTCAGAAACACAGAGGAGCAGAAGCAGCTTCTTACCTAGTTTGCCCAAAACTGCGTAAATTTTTGCTCTGATATTCTCAGCAACATCCATAACTGCAATGGATGGGCAGTTAGCAGGCAGTGGAATGATTTTTTGCTCTTCTTGAAAACTAGTAAATAGAGGGTTCTTTGTATCTAATCATTAGATAGCATGAAAATGTAAAAGGGGCAGATAAAAATGAAAGTAAATAATCCTGAGGGTTTGATCTACGTATAAACTGTATTACAACATCTACGTATAAACTGTATTACAACATTACAACAGGAAAACAGTGCCATCTATCTCTCTCTCTAGTTATAGTTTCATATATAGTTACCTTTCTCCTCTCATCTTTTCCCTCCCTTGGTAGATAAAGAAGCCTATTCATGCTAGGCAAACCCTTTACTACTGAGCTACATTTATAGCCACGCTTTGTTGAACATATAATCAGAAGTTTTCCTTTCTATTCTGTGGCAACCCATAAAGCTTTAATTTATATTACTTGTATGAAATACGAAAATCTTACAAAATTATTCATTGGCTGTGGAATTCTTATATAAATAAACTTCTAAAATTTTTGAGATCCAGAAACAAAATAATGTCTGATTAACAATGTCACTTCCTTCAATTTTGTTTTTAATACTACGCTACTAATATAAAAGCTATTTTTATTATGATATAGATCAAAATTCAGATATCACCAGTAGATTTTCATTAAAAAATAGTAATGCTTTTATAAAATCACAGTGAGAATTTAAAAAATGTGATAGGAAAGTGTATTAGAAAAGAAATCTGGGGGCTGGGAAGGTGGCTCAGTGGTAGAGCACTTGCCTTGCATGCATGAGGCCCTGGGTTCGATTCCTCAGCACCACATAAGCAAAAAGAAAAAAGCCGGAAGTGGCGCTGTGGCTCAAGTGGTAGAGTGCTAGCCTTGAGCTGAAGAGCTGAGGGACAGTGCCCAGGCCCACAGTTTAGGCCCCATGACTGGAACCCCTCCGCCCCCCCCCCAAAAAAAAAGAAATCTGGCAGAGAAAAGGAGCACATGGCATAGATATGCCATGGGAAAGCACCACTTAAGCCCATCCCTGTAGTTTTGGGGTGTCTTCCACATTAAGAATCTTGAGGGCCTTCTATACGGTATTTTCACAATAAAAAAAAGAAAAGAATCTTGAGGGCTTCAGAAGATGTAGTATTATGGAATATGTAAGAGAACAATACATTCTGACACTAAGCCTCATTAAAGTAAGATAATAAAAACTATGAACACTTGATTGATTTTTTATTAGAAAACAATATATTCTTCATGTAAAAAGTAAGTTACACAAACACTTATTAACGATAAATTGTAAAATTTGCTTCCAAGCATGTTATTTACATCCCCAAACTTTATTGGTAGGCATATGTTCCTGAATGCACTTTTAAAAGCAGGACATCTAATTAAATTTCCTTATAAAGAACTATTTGTTTTTGAGTTAAAGAACACAGCCAAATACAACTTTTGGGAACATTTTACAAAAATATAAACCTATTACCGATTTGCTTAGATTACTTCCAATTGTTCAAAGTATGTTGGTAAATTCTTCAAAAACTTTAGAAAGTGGGGCAAAGTCTTCATATTTTCTTTAAAAATTAAAAAAATTGTTATTTAAAGGTGATGCACAGAGAGGTTGGAGTTACATAAATGAGGTAAAAGTACATTTCTTTTTGGACAATGTTACCCTTTCCTTTGCTCTTTCCCAGTTTTCCCCTCCGATCCCTACCCACAAGTCATATAGCTCATTTTCAACATAGGGTCTAGTGAGTATCAATGCTGCATTTGGTTAGCCTCTGTCCCACCTTTTCTGTGCCTCTCCTTACCCTCCAAAAGACAGATAAACCAACAAACAAGACAAAAAGAAAAGAAAACAAAGATAGCAACATAGATAAAACCTCTGTATCAATTTCCTTGAGTTCATTGTTGGTAGATTCTGGGGATTAAACTAAGGGCCTGGGCGCTGGCCTTAAGCTCTTTTTGCTCAAGGCTAGTACTCTACCACTTTGAGCTATACCTCAACTTCCAGTTTTTGAGTAGTTAATTGGATTAGACTCTCACTGGGACTTTTCCACCCAGGCTGGCTTTGAACTGTGATCCCCATATCTCAGCCTCCTGGATAGCTAGGATTTCAGGCATGAGCCACTGGTGTCCATCTGATAAATATCATTTTATATGATAAGATGCACATATTATGACTTTGTGTTCTTCATATTATCAAATACTCTTTAATGATCTATTTATAAAAAAATACATCTAATAGTATCTACCAACAATTATAAATATACTTACCAACAATCTTCCCATTTTTGTCCCGTTTTACTCCTAGTTCTTTTTCTTCTTTTCTCCACAATTTAATTAAAAGACTAGCAGCTGTCTGATCCTTTTTCCCTCTCCAGGCATTGATATGAGCTGCAGTTTTGGGATTATCACAAAATTCAACCATTATTCCAAGTATTAAATTGCAGAACTTCTTTTGGTTCAACTTCAGTAAGAAAACAGAAAAAGAAAAGAGTTATGATAAATATTAAGAATGATTATCTTTCTAAAAAAGGGAGATATGCTTTTCCATGTGGCAAAGAAACATATAACCTTTTTAATTTAAAGGATATTTCCTTTTATAAAAGGTACTATTACCTGCAAAGTTTTGCCTTGATTTTTTGCTGTGCCTGAATTTTTGTGCTTAAGGCTAGCACTCTACTACTTGAGCCACAGCTCTACTTCTGGCCTTTTGGTGGTTAATGGAAGATAAGTCTATGGACCTTCTTGTTTTGGCTGGCTTTGAACTGAAATCCTTAAATCTCAGGCTTCTAAGTAGCTAGGATTACAGATGTGAACTATGGGATCAGCTTTATGAAGCTTCCTGACACACAGCAAGCTCTGAATAATATCTAATTATTGCTAAAAATTATTTTGGTAATTCCAGATAAATATCCTAGAAGAGCTATGTTAAGCAGACTCCTTAATGAAGAGACTTTTAAAAATAGTATATTTCAGTTTTTGGAGAGGCAAATGTAAAAGGCTGAAATTAAGCTGTGTACAGGTGGCTCATACCTATAGTCCTAGCTACCTATGAAGCTGAGAACTGAAGATCACAGATTTAAGCCAATCTGGGCAGGAGTTTGTGAGGCTCTTATCTCCAATAAACAACAAGAAAAAACCAGAAGTGGTGCTGTGGCCCAAGTGGTAGAGCACTAGCTCAGGGACAGTACCCAGGCCCTGAGTTCAAGCACCAGGACCAGCAAAAAAAGGGTTGAAATTAATATAGAAACTTGATTAAAATATTTTATAATTAAGTTTATTGGATTGATCTACAGTAAACATAAAATAACAATAATATAATAGCAAACTCATAGCAATATGTGCCTAATACATAATACGTATTAGTAATGCATATGTGTATATACTGATGCATATGTGTATGTACATGCACACCCAGGTTCATATGTACACCATATGTATATGTATGTGTGCACAGGCACACATGCAGTATCATACATTTAATCCTTCCAATGGTGTGATAAGTTAAATACTGTTGTTATCCTGATGTACAGGTGAAAATTAGTAATTTACCAATTTTCTTTTAGAAACACAAATAATGACATTTGTTAAAGTAGACTTATTATTCTGTTAATAAAATCAAGAATGGTGGCAATCATAAGACATGACATAGCTAGAACTTTGCATGAGAATCTCTCAACATTTTACATTGTCTTCCTCACATATCATTTTGCCTATGGACCCACTTAGAACTGAGGTTTATATTATTCACAACTGCTAATGGTGACAGTCTTTAAATGAGGCCTCAGTAGGCTGGCTCCAGCTCATCCTGTAAAATAAAACAATGGTCAAGACACACCGGGCCTCAACATACTGCCTCCAATCACACACAATTCTTTAATAATGCTTACTTTTGTCTAATGTGGACACTAACTTTTAATACTACAGGGAAGGTTATGTTATTAACACGTGTCTGGTTTCTTTTATAGATTAGTTCATCACACACTGTTGGCAAGTTGATGGAGTACAGAGAATAAACCCAAACCTCTGTCTGCTTGTATTTGGAAACAGTGACCTGAGTAAACTTGATTTCTTAACTGGAGGAGTTTTTAGAGTATTTCTTTAAGTGTTTTTTGAGACTCCAGAGAGATTTGGTGTAAAAGAATACATTTGAGCATAATGAAGGTGCACAATCATTCACAAACATGGGTTCTGTAGTACCTGGTTTGCCAAGTTTAACACAGACCTACTTATCTTTTGTCTTAAAATTGTTGTAACCATACTTACTGCCAATATATCCAAAAGGAGAAAAATGCCTTCCTTTTCAAGAAAATAATCCTCTGAGGGATAACATCCCAAAATACAGCACCTTAAATTAAAGGAAAGTTACTTGTTCACTATTAAATTCATTTTGTAGAGCTTTCTGTCTATCCAAACACTCTCAAGGAAAACTTTTTTTAGTAACTGACTTAGATAACAATTGACTCTTACTTACAAACAGAACTTTGGAGAAACTTCACCAGTGTAGTTTAACTTCGACTATCTTAAGTAATTCTAGTTAATTTTTCCTCCTTGGTGCCTAGTTCTTTTTTTTTTTTTGGTCGGTCATGGAGCTTGAACTCTGGGCCTGGGCGCTGTCCCCATGCTCTTCAGCTCAAGGAGAGCGCTCTACCACTTGAGCCACAGTGCCACTTCCAGTTTTCTAGTGGTTTATTGGAGATAAGAGGGTCACGGAGTTTCCTGCCCGGGATGGCTTTGAACTGTGATCCTCAGATCTCAGCCTCCTGAGTAACTAGGATTACAGGCGTGAGCCACCGGTTCCCGGCTTGCCTAGTTTGCCTAATGTAAGTGCACCACTCTGCTGTGCTGTGCTTTCATGGCATTATTCTGAAACATCTTCACTGTTTTCTTTAAGAACTATTTTTTTTTTGGGGGGGGGGAGTTCCGGTCATGGGGCCTGAACTCTGGGCCTGGGCGCTGTCCCTCAGCTCTTCAGCTCAAGGCTAGCGCTCTACCACTTGAGCCACAGTGCCACTTCTGGCTTTTTTCTTTTTGCTTATGTGGTGCTGAGGAATCGAACCCAGGGCCTCATGCATGCAAGGCAAGCGTTCTACCACTGAGCCACCTTCCCACCCCTTAAGAACTATTTTTACACAGTTTATCTACTTGTTATCTCTCACACAGTATTAGCATACCTCAAATATTTGACAATTACTGATCTTATATTTGCAGTTGAGATTATTTGCTGATGAGCCTGCAGATCATGTTGGAGTGAAGGACTGAAGTTGCTGTCATGGCTATTTTTATTGTTTTCCAGTGTGAATATAGCTGAAAAAGTTACTTGCTGGTAATAGTGGTAGTATGGACACTCATTCCTGGTTCCTTCCAGGAGGCTATGCTTACCCTCCTGGGTAAATATGGTTCTCTTTTGAAAACAAGATGCCTTGTTTCTCTGCTTGTTTCATGGCCAGTTTGATGGGGCTTCCACATGGAGGGTAGAGTTGGGCACTCAAAAATTCAAGAACTTTGTTCTGCCAACTTATATGGTTATAGGTTTTTCTATACCTTTATGTGACTAGGCAGTTAAATCTATAAGAGTTTTCCTGGCTGATATAACCAGCTGAATTAGTGAAGAAAGCAGATGGCTCTCCCAATTTACAGTCAATTGAAGATCTGAACAGAACAAAAGGGCTGAATAAGTAAGAAATCTGCTTGATAGCTGAACTGGGATGCAAGCCTTCAGACTCAAACTGAAAAACTGGCTTCCCTTGGTCTCAAGCCTACCAGCCTACCAGCCTACCAGTGTTGGCTCTCCTAATTCTCAGGCATTCAATCACAGAGAGGAACCACATCACCAGCTCTCCTAGGTGTGTAGCTTGTTGATTTTTTTTTCTAATTTGGGACTTTTCAGTATTCATATATAATTTCTATTGATTCTGTTTCTCAAAATTCTGAAGATTTAGACATTACTTAAATTCCTGATAGTGTAGAAAAAAATTGGAAAACTTACTATACCAGCTATCCAGCCTCAGTAAGAATATATAACTATTAAAACAACTCAATATAGAAACATCTGGATATTGGTTGCTAATTTTAAATGAGCAGAAATCCTAGAAACAGAGGCAAAGGATAAGAGCACTCTATATGAGCAACAGTGGGTGCTAGTTTTCTTCTCACCAGGTCTTTTCTATTTGAAAAATAATCAATATTGTTTTCCAAATGACAATGGCATCACTTTAGGTTATCTATGAAAAAGACATGGAGAAAGTGATTTTTTTGGTAAAGTTTTAAGGGAGAATATTGATGTACATAGTAGAATAAGTTTTCTTCAACTGTGATTCTACTGAACTTAATTACAGTAATACTTACCAAATGCTGTCCAATGTACTAAAAAGAAGCACATTATAACCCAATCCACTCTGTAACTTCTTGGGGTCAGTTTTCATTACATGGAGAATTATATTCACCCCTTCAGTTCCAAAAATTTCCTGTTTAAAAGATTTGTTTTAAATAATTTCTCAAAATATATATGTAATATCTTATTTCTCCACTTCATCCTATCCCATGAAACTATTTTTCTATGAGAAAAATATTGTTAGTGGCAATAAAAAATTGCATTTGTAACTTGTTCTCTGGAATTTAAAACAAAGTTTTATAGAGTGAATCATTTAAAGAGAGGGTATTAATCAACACATCTACTTAATGTCGCTTCAAAATGTGGGTATTTTCTATTTTTCTTTAAAAAATAACTGTGAGTCTTACCCTGTGGATTTTTCCATGTTAAGATGAAAACAGTATAGAATTACATCAGATGGCTATGAGATATTAACAACTATCATAGAAGATAATGCTCTCAGAGAAAGTAGATGTTTAACTAATAGTAGTTATGCTTTTATTAATTTGTATGAAATGATTAGCATTTAGTATTTTCCCCTGACCATTGTCTCTGTATTGCCTTGTTTTCATCTGGTTCCTAGCAAGCACAGACACAGGAAAGAAAAACACAAGAAGTGGTACTAAGGCAGGGTGCTAACTCGATATGCATTATTTCTGTTGCCTTTCCCCCAAATCTGTCTGTCTAATCATTGTGACTTTGCTTTCCTTCCTTTCTTTTTCCCTCCTTTCCCTCCCTCCCTCTCTCTCTTTCTCTCTCTTCCTTCCTTCCTTCCTCCTTCTTTTTCTTCACTTTTTTTTTTGGTTGGTCATGGGGCTTGAACTCAGGGCTTGGGTGCAGTCCTGGAGCATTTTTGCTCAAGGCTATTCAGAGATAAGAGTCTCTGGCCTTTTCTGCTGGGGATTGGCTTCAAGCTGTGATCCTCAGATCACAGCCTCCCGAGTAGCTAAGATTATAGGTGTGAGCTACTAGTTCATTCTTATTCTAACTTTCAGTTTTAGATATGAGCCCAATTGAAATCTAAACAACAGGAACAATAATACAGTTCACTTTGGAAAACTATTCGTCAGTTTCTCATAATAATAAGCATATATTTACTTTATGTCAAGCAATTCAATTCTTAGGTATGTATTCAAGAGAAATTAAAACATTATACCCACAAAAAAGCCTAATTTGAGAATGTTCATTGGAGAATTGTTCACAATGTCCCCAAATGTCTATCAATAGGGGAATGAACAAACATATTTTGGTATACTCATACAATAGAGTACTATCAAGTAATAAAATGAAACTATTGATAATGCAGCACTAGTGATATATTTAAGAATATGTTATTTTTTCTAGGTAATGGGAATAAGTCATAAACACCAGTGATTCCAGTAAGACAGTGTTAAAGAATAGACAAATCAACCCGTGGCTAAGAGGAGGCATGGTTGCTAAGGAGATAAGGCAATTTCATACAGACATGGGAATGTACAAAGAAATGTATATGCTCAAATTGGAGTATAGGTTAAGCTGGTATATGCTTGTCAAACCTACACCAAATAATCTATTTAAAATCATGCATTTGCTATGAGCAATATTTTAATTATAAAAACATCAGAATACTTTATTACACTGCAAGTAATATTAAAATAATATCTTTATTATAAGATATTAAATTGCGCTTTGACAGAATTAAAAAATATTTATTGGCTTCCTAGGTGTTTGGGAGAGCTGAACAAAATTTACATTTACAGTAATACATACCTTCCTTTGAATATGATACTCACAAAGGCCAGATAAAATAAGTAATATATCAGATTGGATTTCTAAAACAATGGCCTCTTCCTTTTCATTGGGATCCTTTATTGTATTTTTGAAGATTCCTGGTATGAAAATTTTAAAGAATAAAATTATTTTGTTTTGGTCAGTTGCTGCTGAAAAAGCTCTTCTAAAAGTTTCTTTGGCTAGAGAAACTACTTAGAAACTACTTAGGGCTATTTTCATTGCATAATAATCTAGAGGCTGTCGACTGAGTATGATAAAGACTCCTTAAACTCTTAATACTCATCCATCAGTACCCTCATATATATAGAATTCCTACATAGACCCAATTGTGTTTCCATGAATACAGAATGTCTCAAATACAATCATTAGTCTCACATAGATTAATTTGTAGCACAGAACTAATGGAGTGTCTTTAAAAGATGCCCTAATAAACTGAATCTTTGCCTGCCAAACTCTCTTTAAAAGTATGTAGACATTCAAGCGGTAGAGATGAGTGCCTTTATAAATATATAACCAAAATGTATGATTGTACTTTGCTCCATCTCTTGTGGTTACAAAGCCAATACACGTGAATGAGCTCTCTAAGTGTGTCTTCTGTCTGTTACTTCTTTTGGCATCTTCTCCTTATATCTACTTGAAATTGCTCTTCAATAACTTTTGAGATCAGCATTCTCTATCCTTTAAAATCCTCCCTTTGCAATCAAAACTGCAAAGGACTTAAAAACAGTAACTAAAATGTCACTTACAATAAAAGAACCATCTTTTAGGCTTAAATAATTCACAAAAGTCATTTTTTCCCCTCTCTTAACTGTCATTAGAAAGAAGGTATGAAGTCACATTTCCAAAGAAGACACTCCCTAATAATTGGCCCTGGGGAACTATTCTTGGTCCTTTAAAGAATAAATTAAACTCGTGTAATCAGAATGTGGCATGGACAGAGGGTCTATTGTTCCTTTATCAGGGGTGCCTTCAAAAAACTCCTATGGACTGGCCCTCAGTCTCCAGTTTTCTTCTAGAAAGTCTCATTTTCTCTGTCTGGGTGTATGTTCATAGATTTGCCTGAGTCAGTAACATATAGTACACTAATATGGAATTAATTTCTTCATATTTAGGTACCCATTAACTCACTGTCTTTATCCTCTCTTTATTATAGCTTAAATCATTCTATTTCTTTGAGATTCTCTTTCTGATAATATAGTAAATATTGCATATAAAGTATCAGGACCAAAACCCCCAATGTCTTTTCATTTGGGATGAAATTCAAACTTAAAACCTTTTCTAGCTTGGTTCCTGACTATAAAATTAACCTTGCCTTATAGCATTTGTATGCATAAAACACTTAGCTATCTTTAAACATATCATCATGAATATTTTAGCACTGTTTCTCCTCATACTCTCTTTGCTGGAAAGACTAATCTCTTTCCATTTTTAAACTACCTTTCCTCTCATAGGTTTCTAAGATTGCACAAGCTTCAAAACCACTCACACTCATTAGTTTCTGTGACATTTACACACTATATGCCTAATTGATGGTAAAGGGTAACTTACATGATTTCTCTCTCTCTCTCTCTCTCTCTCTCCATATATATATATATATATATATATATGTATACATATGTATGTATGTATGTTGTTCTTAAAAGGGAGATCCTGATCCCTGTACACAGTTGCAATTCTTTAATCTACACAGAAGGTACCTATTATATTTTTTGAGCATGTTACTAGAAAATCCTGTTAGATTAAAAATGAGGCCGCCTTGCATGCATGAGGCCCTGGGTTCGATTCCCTAGCACCACATAAGCAAAAAGAAAAAAAGCTGGAAGTGGCACTGTGGCTCAGGTGGTAGAGCGCTAGCCTTGAGCTGAAGAGCTGAGGGACAGCGCCCAGGCCCAGAGTTCAGGCCCCACGACCGGACCCCCCCAAAAAATAAAAAATAATAATAAAAATGAGGAGGCCCTTACTTTTACTCTCAAAAGTAAGCTTCTTAGCAAGAAGGTAAATGTCTTGTCCAGTCCCCCTTCCAAAAATATAATTTTTTCCTATACACAATGGAGAGCACCATCCCTTTCTCCTAAAGACAGAAGGAAGGTACTTTGTGTAGGTCTTTGCAATAAGCATCTAGCAGGGGTTTAGTTTAGAAGCCATATATTTAAGGTTTGGCCCCAGTCTATGGTGCTATTGGGAAGTGCTGGAGGAGGATATTGTGGAAGGAGGAGATATTGGGATATTGGGACTCTGGCCTCTTTTTGTTTCTCGCCAGCTTCTATGCCACCAGAGGTGAGTGGCTTGCCCTACCAACTGCTGCCATCACGATATACTGCTTTACCATAGGTCCAAAAGCAATGAGCTACTGACCATGGACTGAAACTTTTGAGCCAAACTATGCATTCATTTCCTATATAAGTTGATTTATCTGAGGTATGTGTCACAGTAATACAGAGATAACACATTACATATGTTTCCTGATATGTTATATGATTGATTCTAGACTTTTTTTTTTTAAGGTCATGTTTTTTCTTGATTCTAGACTTTTCCTGGGTATCAAAATCTAGGATGCTCAGATCCCCTGTGTAAAATGATGTAGTATTTGCATATAAGCCATGCATTTCTTCCTGTGCACTCTAACTTTAAAATGCTAAGAAAACAGTTCTTATGTTGTTGAGAAAATGACAAAAACAGTCTATATATGATCAGTACAGTTCATGCTTACTTCTTTTCTTTTTCTACTTTTTATCCATGGGGGGTTGAATTCATGGATGCCAATGCCAATGATACGGTGAGTTGACTTCCTATCATTTATAGGAGGCAGCTGTTGAATATGAAGGGGGAAACCACTCTAACTTTGCAAAGTAAGAAAAAGTTAGGGCTAAAATATGATTTTTAATAAGATGGAAATCAGCTTTAATTATGAATTGAAAATAAAAGATTTTTTGATATTTTGTTCCATAAAAGAAACTCCTTTATATGTTTCTGTTGTACTAATTCATCAGTGTTTTGATATGCCAAATGTAATGTTATCCTCTTTTAAAATGGTTCCAAAAGGCTTGGCCAAAAAGTTTGATCTTATTAGTAGAAGAACAACAGTATTTTAAAAAGAGATAATCATTGATGAAATGGCCTCTGAATTGAGGATTAAAGGATTAGTGATTATGGCATTTTGATAAGAAGAAAATCTGATTTACAAAATAAAACAAAGATTAAAAATTTAAAGCAAAGTAAGTTTGTAGAAAAATGTTTGGGACAAAACAAATTCAATGCGATACCTATAAATATTCCAACCTCATTCTTCAAGGAAATAGAAGAGGCAATCCAAAAGTTCATATGGAACAATAAAAGACCCCGAATAGCAAAAATGATCTTTAACAGAAAGAACAGTGCTGGAGGAATATCAATACCAAATTTCAAACTCTACTACAAAGCCATAATAATCAAAACAGCTTGGTACTGGCATAAGAACAGACCTCAGGACCAATGGAATAGAACTGAAAACCCAGAAATGAACCCACAGACCTACAGCCATCTAATCTTCCATAAGGGAGCTAAAAAAATAGAATGGAAGAAAGACAGCCTTTTCAGTAAATGGTGCTGGCAAAATTGGTTAATCACTTGTAGAAAACTAAAGCTAGATCCTAATCTATCACCATGCACCAGAATCAACTCCAAATGGATCAAAGACCTCAGAGTCACAGCAGACACTCTGAAAACATTACAGGATGGAATAGGAGAAACCCTAGGTCTCCTTGGCACAGGCCCAAATTTTCTTAATAGAGACCCAGAAACACAACAAATCAAAGAAAGGTTGGACAAATGGGATTGCATGAAATTGCAGAGCTTCTGCATGGCAAAGGACATAGCTAGCAAGATCAATAGAAAGTCCACGGATTGGGAGAAGATCTTCACTAGCCATACAACAGACAAGGGTCTCATATCTAAAATATACCTGGAACTCAAAAAATTAAATCCCCCAACAACAAATCCTCAAAGAAACAACTGCCCAATAAATAAGTGGGCTAAAGCCTTAAAGAGAAACTTCTCTGAAGAGGAAAGAAGGATGGCCAATAGACACATGAAGAAATGCTCAACCTCCCTAGCCATAAAAGAAATGCAAATCAAAACAACATTGAGATACCACCTCACTCCACTTAGAATGGCAAAAATCAAGAACTCTAACAAGAACAGATGCTGGAGGGGATGTGGACAGAAGGGAACCTTACTGCATAGTTGGTGGGAGTGTAAACTTGTTCAACCACTTTGCGAGTAGTATGGAGGTTCTTCAAAAGACTCCACATAGAGCTCCCCTATGACCCAGCAATCCCACTTTTGGGCATTTACCCAAATGTTTACAAACAAGACCACACTAAAGCTCCCAGCACAACTATGTTTATTGCAGCGTTATTTACCATAGCTAAGATATGGAACCAACCCAGATGCTCCTCATTAGATGAATGTATCAAGAAAATGTGGTATATATACACAATGGAATTCTATGCCTCCATCAGAAAGAATGACATTGCCCCATTTGTTAGGAAATGGAAAGACTTGGAAAAATTATATGAAGTGGAAGTAAGCCAGGCCCAAAGAAACAGAGGCCCCATGGTTTCCCTTATTTGCAATAACTAGTATATGTCTGAGACAAGCAGAAACGGTCAGATAAGTTGATGTTAGGCTAAATGAACCCCAATATAAGGATTCAAATGTTCTTTTTTCTTTCTTGTGATTGTTTCGAACATATTTATAAGATGATTTTTTTGTTGCTTTGTATGTCCCTCCCCCATAGTATAACCCTTGTTTTCACTGTATTTGATGTTGGTATTTGTGGAGGGGAAAGGAAAAAAAACAAATTGTTTAAATAGGGATACAAGTGGACCCCATTGCAACAATGAGATGTACAAGACGTTATGTCAAAAAACAAACTTTACAACTTTCGGGGGGGGAGTTATGGGTTGGGGGAGATGGGAAGGGATGAGAAGGGGAAACAAAGGAGGAGGCAACAATGCTTGATAAGAAATGAACTCATTACCTTGCCCATTTAACTGTTAACCATCTGTACGGTATTTTCACAATAAAAAAAATTATGAGTATATACAGTAATTTGTTACTTTACTTTCAGAAGTAAAATAAAAACTGCCAGGTTGTATTTTACCTATCAGTTGTTGAATTGTTTCCTTTTCACAAAGATCTGTGTTTATATTCTCATCCTCAAGAGAGACCATGGCTCTCAGAAGTCTTAATGTGTAACGCATCTGGGCAAACTTATTGCCACGGCCACCTGTGCCATGAAAACTATTACCATGGCTGAAGAAAGGATCTGTGGAGAGAAATTAATAAAATCAATTTATGTGAAAACACCTGAAACATTTAATATAAACAATGTACCAGATATCTTATGTAAAACATAAACATGTTAAAGTTTTGTTATATTTGCTTTTTATTCAGAGAAATAAATATCCCTTCTACTTCCTTTCTACTCTCAGGATGGATATCATTTGTAACTTTTGCAACTTTTGTTAGAAAATGTTATCGATTTGAGTTATTTATATTGTCCTAAGAAAATCAAGATCACCTGTTTCAATCTCAGCATTAGTATTATAAATGATCATTTATCTGCTTACTAGACAAACTGCCACAATGAACATTCTGGTTTATTCCCCCCTTCCTACCACTAAGATTCTTCAAGTAACTAGTGAATTAAACAAGCATAGTCATTTTTTGTTACTATAGTAAAATGACTACGATATATAAGAAGACTGATTCCTCCCCAAGTCTGTTAAATGTGAAATGCTAGTTCATTTTTATCTTAAGTTGCACTTCTCTGATTACCAGACAGGTTGTGTGATGGAAATTATTTTTCAAAGCTTAAAATTTTCTTGTATGACAGGCTCTATCTTTGACATGCTTCTCTATGAATTTTATTCCTTTAAACATGTAGAAGCTTTTATGAATCTTGATCCTAGCTTATCAGTAAAGGAGTAGTAAACACTTTTCAAGTTTATATTAATACATTTTTCAGACTTTTTCATATACGAATTTCTAGGTTTTATAACTGGAGATTGGGAAAACAATTCCATTCACAACAGCCTCTGGTTGGTGGGCTGGAGGTGGGGGGAGGTTAGGGAGAAATTTAGCAATAAAATTAATCAAGAATGTAAAAGACCTCTACAACTGAAACCATAAAATGTTGAAGAAAATAAAGAAGACTCTAGAAGATGGGAAGACCTTCTATGTTCATGGATTATCAAGGCAAGCATTGTAAAAACAGTCATGCTGTTGAAAGCAATCTACAGATTCAGTGTAATCCTCATCAAAATTCCAATGTCATTCATTATAGAAGTAGAAAGATCAATCCTTAAATTCATATGGAAGCACAAAGGACCCCAAATAGCCAAAACATTCTTGAGAGAAAGCAGGGGAGGGATGGAGGGAAAGAGAGGGAAAGAGAGAGAAAAAAAGAGACATTCTGGAATAATTACAATACCAGACTTCAAATTATACCACAAAGCCATAATAAGAAAACCAGCATGGTACTAGAGTGCAAACAGACATGAAGACCAATGGAACAGACTAGAAGACTCAGAAATGAGCTCACACACCTACTACCATTTGATTTTTGTCAAAGATTGGAAAAAAAACTTCAACAAATGTTGTTTGGAAAAATGAAACTAGACCTTTATCTCTTGCCCTGAACTAATGTCAATTTCAGAGTAAGTCAAGGATCTTAATGTAAGACCTGAAACTCTGAAGTAACTACAGGAAAAAATAGGGAGAACATTAGAAAATATGACATAGTAACTTCCTGACTAGAAATCCAAAAAGTCAGCAAATAGAGCAAGAATTGACCAAAGGGATGCAATAAGCTAAAAACCTACACAGCAAATTAGTCAGTAGGCTGAAAAGACAGCTTAGAGAATGGGAGAAAGTGTTTGCTAGCTGTACATCTGACAAAGGGATCAAAAATTTAAACTTCCAATCAACAACTCAATTAATAGATGAGCAAATAAACAGATACTTCTCAAAGAAGTACAAATAGCAAATTAATACATAAAGAAATGCTCCATTTTCCTCACCATAAGGGAAATCTTAGTTAAAACAACTAAGATTTTATCTTATTTCAGACAGAATGCCCATCACTAACAAAAGCAAAAATAAGATATGGGGAAGGAACCCATATACACTGTTGGTGGGAATGTATACTACTACAATACAAAATCAGTATGGAGCTTCTTCAACAAAACTAAAAATAGGAGTCTTTAACTTCCATTTTCTGTATGTGGAACAGAAAATTCCTTAACTTGGCTCTTGAGCCATCTGGCTTGAGCCTGCTATTTCCTTTTAATGATGTTCCCTTTCTCCCTCTTTCTCTCTCTGTCTCTCCTCTCTCTCTGTTTCTGTCTCTGTCTCTCTCAAACTCCTTGCTGTACCACTTAAACAACAAAACTAAACTAAAATTAGAACTACCCTATGATCTAGCATACCACTCTTGAACATACATTAGAAGGAATGTAAGTTAGGATACAATAAAGGCACTTGCACACCCATGTTCATTGAAGCACTATTCACAATAGCCAAGCTATGGAAATAGCCCAGATGTCCTACAACTGATGAATGGCTCAAGGACAAAGTTCACATGCTTTCTCTCATATGTGGATACTAGACCTAAAAAGACAAACATAAATGTAGATACATGATTACATATAATCCATCTGATTGAAGTATGGTGTATGCATGTATGAAATGACACAGTGAAGCCCTTTTGAGCAACTAATATGTACCTTAACACAAATTAAAGGTGAAACAGGGTGCAAATAGAAGGGCAAAGGAAGAGAGTGAAGGAGAGTAAATGTGGTAAAAATACTTTATGTATATGTGTGGAAATGGATCAGTAAAGCTTGTTGAGGTTGTTTTCGAAAGTGGGAAGCAGTGAGAAAGGAAGCGATAGAAGAAGGGAGTCTGATCAAGGTACACTGCATGCATGCATAGGCATATCAAAATGAAATTCCTTTGTACAACTAAGTGATATTAGTAATAAAAACAAATTTGGGCTCCAGATGTAGACTACATATGGGATCATTACTTCTAGTTAGAGACCTACATAGATTTTAAACTCTATAAAGCTAAGAATTCTTTTTCTTTTTGTCAGTCATGGGGCTTGAACTCTGGGCCTGGGTGCTGTTATCCTTGAGCTCTTCAGCTCAACGCTAGCACTCTTCCACTTGAGCCACAGCACCATTTCTCATTTTCTGGTGGTGATAAGAGTCTCATGGCCTTTCCTGCCTGGGTTGGCTTTGAACTGTGATCCTCAGATCTCATCCTCCTGAGTAGCTAGGATTACAGCATGAGCCACCAGTGCCCAGCTTAAGATAAGAATTCTTATTTAAGCACAAAAATATATTAAACAGCTAAAATAGCATATGATACTTTGTAGACATTCAATAAATGTTCATTGAAAAGCAGCATTAAAATATCAGAATTTATTGTTTCTAAATATAATTTTTGATAGACCTAATGCAAAGATTTAAATCAATTATATGCATAATTTATTTTTATTAGCAGATATTAAATTGTACAAAAGGGTTTCAGTAAGACGGAGACAGACAGACATGCATTTATTTTTTGTTACTTGAATTAACTCTGTTGCTTTTTCTGTGCATGTATTGAGTTCAATTCCAATTATTTTTGACAGGAATCCTGAGGAGCCTCTCACCTTGATTCTCACACCATTCCAGAAATGCCAGGATTCGAGCATTTCCCTGGCATGACATATAGTCCTCTATTAACAAGGGCGCCACAGAAGACAAGGTGGCAATTGCATGTAGCTGTAATTCTTCATGCTGTGCCAGAGACCACTCAACTATTTTCTGTTTCTCAGGTTTCTTAACATAAGTGAACAAAGCCAAAACAACTTTGCCATCAATTAACAGCTATGAGAAAGGGCAGAGGATAATTTGTTAGAAGGATATTTTAAATAAGAAAGTTAGATTTACATATTTAAAATAATCAGGAAAAATTAAAGATTTCAGATACAGGGTTTTTAAAGTCATTTATGTTTTTATACTTGGTGATACAAGGGATTGAACTCAGGGCCTTATGCCTTCTCATACCCTATCACTTGAGCCATGCTTCTAGTCATTTTTTGCTTTAGTTATTTTATTTATTTTTTTGGTCCAGTCGTGGGGCCTGAACTCTGGGCCTGGGTGCTGTCCCTCAGCTCTTCAGCTCAAGGCTAGTGCTCTACCACTTGAGCCACAGAGCCACTTCTGGCTTTTTTTCTTTTTGCTTATGTGGTGCTGGGGAATCAAACTCAGGGCCTCATGATTGCAAGGCAAGCGCTCTACCAATGAGCCACCTTCCCAGCCCCCTTTAGTTATTTTTTCAGGTAAATTCTCACATTTTGGGCCAGTACTGGACCAAAATTCTCCTACCTAAGCATTCTACATAGCCTAGATTACAGAAGTGAACCATCAAACAAGCCTTGTTTATTGACATGAAATCTTGCTAACTTTTTTCTGGGTTAGCCTCAAACCAAAATCATTTTATCTCCCATAGGTTCATATGTATACATCATCTTGCTCACCAAAATGTGATGATCTTATTGGTAGTTATTTAAAAGTACTCCCTTTCTAAATATCAAATTTATAGGAGATATCAAAAACACACAAAATAAAAAGGCAATGAATAAATGCACAAGCATTCTTTTTTGCTCACAAAATATAAAATATGTTTTTGTTGTCTATAATGCTTACACATGTAACTTATCTCTTTCTTATGATAAAAGCATAAAAGTAGAAAATATGGGGTAATAAGCCACTGGTGTTTCTTTCTTCACTCTTTCTTCCAAGAAAGGTATTTTGTTTTTACAGTGCTAGGGATCTGACCCAGGACATGCTAGGCAAATATCCTACCACTTAGGTCCACCTCCCATCACCAAGGTAAAAATTTCATTAACCTGCATATAATAAAACACAATTTTTCCTGAAGTAGTGAGTATGGCTTATATGTAACTACATACAATAGAACTTAAATACACATTCCACCAAACAAATGTCAGTCAGGCCATACTTAATTACATGCCCAATATTTAAAATTTTTATTGAATGTAACATTGCAATACAAGCAAAACAGATGTATACAGAAATTTCAAAATGACAATAGAATTAATAGTATAGCTGATTTTGATGGGTACAAAGTGATGTAATTTGCTGAGATTCTGCATTAAAGCCATTACCACTAAAATATCCCAGTTTAACATTTGCTGTAATGATAATGAGAGACTTAATCCCCATTATGTTTTTAATGAAAAGGAGCTTAGAAAAGTTTTAGGACTAATTTAGCTAATGGAATTGTTAGCAATATATTCTTCTAGCATTTCATGTCAACCTCACAGGAGATCCATGAATGGGGAAGATGAGTAATCATCTTTTTTGTCCAAAGGAAATGGAAACTCAGGAAGTTTCAGCATCGAAAACAAACAAACAAACAAACAAAACCATCTAGCTAGTAGGTAATAACCCAAATTGGAATTTAGTCCTAGAGTATTTCAAATTACATTATGCTGTTACATAGGATGTAAAGTAGTAAGATAAATTCATGACTAATACAAAATTAAAGATTGGGGCTGGGAAGGTGGCTTAGTGGTAGAGTGCTTGCCTTGCATGCATGAGGCCCTGGGTTCAGATTCCTCAGCACCACATAAGCAGAAAAAGTCAGAAGTGGCGTTGTGGCTCAAGTGGTAGAGCTAAGCCTTGAGCTGAAGAGCTGAGGGACAAGGTCCAGGCCCTGAGTTCAGGCCTCATGACCGGCAAAAAAATAAATAAATAAAATAAATAAAAATTAAAGATGTTAGATTTGTGTGGAGAAAAGGCATGTTTAAACAGGTTTGAGACTGGTGTTACAGAGGCTTTTGTTTTTTTTTAATATGGTCAGAGACTATTTAACTGGTGTGGGAATAGAGTTAGTAATAGCATGCTTGCCTAGTATGTTTGAGTCCCTGGATTCAAGACTAAACACCTTAAAAGGGAAAAAAGGGATTGAGAAACTGAGGGAAGGAGGAGAGAACAATGGGAGAAAGTGAGGAAACGAGGGAAATAAAACTGGATGGGTCTGTATGAACTTCTTTTATGTTCCCTTATTCAGAAGATTAAATATAATAATCATTTTCTTAGTATGTGCTTACCTCTTTTTTTGGTTTATTTTTTTTTAACATTAGGTATCTCACTGTGTATTAAAACAGAAGCAAAGGAAAATTTTAACAGCTAAACTTCAGGCTGGTAAATCTGTTACTCTTTGGACATGACATGTGCTGATCAAAGGTTTGCAGTCATGGCTAAACTCATTATAAAGAAGATGATTTTTATTAACTTTCTTGTTACGATTACCTGTACAGTAGGTAAATCTTTACATAAGATCACAATTATATTGAATAGTAATTTCTTCAACTCAAAATCTTCATAGGTATTAGAAAGCTTAAGACCTTTTACCAAAGGATTTTGACTTTTAACTGTGAAGGAGAAAAAAGAAGTGAAATGAAAGCTAATATGACATACACCATTCATCAAGACAATACAAGAAGTTTAGAGTTTTATGGCTTTTACCTTCATTAAAGGTTGCAAATAGTATCAAATCCCTGGTAAAGCCACATTCCTAGTAGAAATCCATGAAATAAGATGAAAGATTAATTAGAATGACCGTTAAGCAACAAGTGTCCATCTAATCTACTATTGAAGTGCATTTTTATCAAATTCTTCTACTATAATTACTTTAAAATTTAAGTTCTAATACTATCAAGGAGTAAATGCACAAAAATAAAAGCATATAGCTAGACAGACTTGTAATTAACTTAATTTTACACTTGCTTTTGATGCTTCTAAGTATTTTACATTCCTTTATGAATGCTTCACTCACAAATTAATTTCAAATTTAGTAAGAACAAAATCATATTAATCTACATAGTTCTGTAATTCATTATGTGTATCTTCAAATGGCATTGTAAGGGAGGAATGACAAAAAAAAGAGTGAATGAATTTAAAGCTATATATTAATATAACAATCTAATCTGACAAATAGACAAATGAGTGAAAACAATGAACACAGACTTACATATTTATAGGATAATATAAAAAAGTCAAACGTACAAGTAATTGGATTCCTAGCCCAAGAGGGGAAGAGAACAGGACTAAAAATATTTCAAGAAATAAAATGACAAAAGCTCTCTTAAGTTTTGTTAGACTTAAACTTGTAAGTCCAAGATAGTTTATGAACCCCATGAATAAAGAAAAAGAACACAACTGGTACATCACAGTAAAACTGTTGAAAACCAAAGATAATACTAAGAATATGGAAACTACCAGAATTAAAAGTGATATATTACACAGAAGGAAAAATAATTTGAAATGATACATGCTTTTTATCAGAAACAATGAAAGCCAAAATACAGTGAAACATTATTTTTAAGTGCTAAAAGAAAACTTTTTAACCTAGAATTTTGTCCATTGACACACTTCAGGAATTAAGATGAATTAGTGATATTTTCAAGTAAAAGAAAACTAAGACTGGTGGGCAGCAGCTATTGTATTCTCCATTTAAAATAAATAAAATTTTACTGATACTTACAATCATTGGTGCTCCAGGGTTTTGAGCTATAATTGTTGTGATCACTAATAGGTCATTTCTAAGTTGATGATCATAATGAGTAAAACCTCTCACGAACAAATTTTTAAATGCTTCCTTCAAAGCCCTAAAAATAAAACGTATTTTTTAAAATATTGTTATGGACAATATTTTGTGTCTCTAAAATTGTCTCTAAAATTTTTTGCCTCTAAAATTCCTTTGTTGAAATCCTAACTCCTTGTGTAATGGAATTCCGAGAGGGGCCTTGGATGTGAAGGTGATCTTATTGTGACATTTGTCACTCTACGCTTCACCAGGGGTGATTCAGCTGACATGGCTGGTTGGGTGGGTGTCCCCTACCTCCCTCACTGCTCCATGGGTGCTCCTCCTGAAGCTTGGTTGAACAAGACCATCCCTGATAGAGGAGAGCCATTCTTCAGTGAAGGGTATGAGTAGCTGTGCTACCCTGCTAGATCCTCCAAACAAGCTCTCAAGAGGTAGTGTCTTTGTGAGATAATTAGGCCATGAGAGTAGAACCTTCTAAAAGGGACCCCAGAGAGTTGACTTGTTCCTTTTCTTCCATATGAGGAGATAGAAGAGTAACCTTGTCAGATTTTGCCGGTTTGTGGCCTCTAAAACTATGAGAAAAAAAATTACTGTTGTTTGTAATCAACCTGCTCTATGAAACTTCGTTATAGTAGCTTGAACAAGACACTATTTCTATGGAAATACTAGTTAAGTGCCTAATCAGAAAATCTTACTTTTATATTATTCATCAAAGTGTTTCTAAAGTTTTTCACATTTCCCAATCTGCCTTTAACTATGTACCAGATGAGAATGCATTAAAGCAAACTGTACATGGTACTCAAAATGACTGCTTTACTCAATCTGTAACATCCAAAACAATCCTGGTAACTTTTGACATCTTGCCTATAAATTAGAGACTTAGGTTTGGGATCAACTTTATCTTATTTATCAGAAATGTTTTGGACTTTTGAATGTATTCATTGAGTTTCTAAAATGTATTCTGTTGGTATGCAAATTTTATGCTTGAGTTCTGTTTTTACTTTGAAATAAAATATTCAGTAGCTTAAAAAAAGATTTAATCATGCCACATTAAAGTTACTAAAAGGCTTTAAAGGACCACTTATATCTTTTGTTGAGTTTTAGGATAAAGTCCTCCCTCCCTAACAAGGTTTGTCAGGTCTTTCATGTTGTGGTACATTATTAGCTTTATCTTCATTCTATTAGGCTCTTTGTGTTCTGACCATACTCAACTTCTTTTGCGTTTGCTAAATTTCACTTTTTTTTCCCCTGCCTAGGATGTTCCCTGCGAATAAGAAGTTTTCTGTGATGCTAATTCCTAATTAGGGTTCAGATACTGTTAGGAAGCATATATTAACTCTTCAAGTCTGAATGAGGTTCCCTCTATAGTGGCCATTTATTCTGTTGTCTCTTGGGACTCATGTGACTTTTCTATTAACCCTATCATCGTTTTGATTTAGTTATTCATTCATCCTCAACTTGTGGCCCTATGAAGCTGCCGTTAGCTGCTTTTTAACCAATTAGAGCATTCCTTCTCCCTGGAACTGGAATGTTCACCAGCCAACATTACACCATTATAGGCCAACAGAGAATATTATTTTTTCCCTATTTGGTTGGTCGTGGGACTTGAACTCTCTGGGCCTGGGTGCTGTCCCTGAGCTCGTCAGCTCAAGACTGGTGCTTTACCACTTGAGCCAAGTGCCACTTCCAGCTTTCTGGTGTTTATTGGAGATAAGAGTCACGGATTTTACTGCCCGGGCTGGCTTGAGCTGCGATCCTCAGATCTCAGCCTCCTGAGTAGCTAGGATTACAGGTGTGAGCCACTGGCATCCAGCTTGAGACTACATTTTAAGACCTTGTTTTCTTTGAGTTTTCAGGCAGCAGCTCTCCTCTGCTTAATTTGGGGTTGAGATGATGTGAGCCTTCACTTCATAGTTGTTACTATATGGAGTTCAGGAATGAAGTCGATATAATAGATGATAATGCAGAAGAGACAAAGGATCAAGTCCTGATATTTGCTGAGTCATGCATAAAGTTGCACATAAATTCAGTTTTATCCTTCACTTTTAGTTACATGAGCACACAAATATTCTATATTGCTTAAGCCTTTGAGTTGTAGTTTCTGTCACTTGCAAATAAGAATGGGCTGCTTCACTTCCTTCTGAAGAAGACAGAACATCTTGTGATCATCTTTTGTGTTTATATCACTTCTTTTCAGATGTCAATTTATTTGTCCTTTTCATCTAGATAACATTAATTTCTTGAAAATAAAGACTATGTCTGATTTGTTTCCAGTTGTATTTTCATGATCTAGTACCAACTTTGGCACAGAGCAGAAATTTGTTGAATAAATATGTAAACAAACTTGAAGGCTTACTCACATTTTATGGCTAATTTTCTTGCAATATCTGGCAAATAGTAAGAATCTCCTACAAAATTTAAGGATTAAGTGAAATAGATCTTTAATGTCCAATTTTATTTTAAACATATATAAAGATAAAAACTTAGCCTGCACATGCTACTATAAAAGATTTGCACAGAGAAAAGTGTGGTTTGATAGCAGACTTATCCTGCTCTTTACCACCAGCACTAATTAAAAGAAAAAGAAAGGAAGAAAAGACTGTCCTCTTGTTGAGAAGATTCACTTAAGCAATGGCAAGAATATTCAGAAGTATTTATTCCACGAATCAAAAAATTAATTGAAATAGACTTTAAGAAAGGTATCACTGTATCATTAGCAAATATAATAATTTTAAAATAAAAGATATTTCTATCTAGCCACATATACTTACAGCAAACATTCCAAGTTACTAAGCTGTTGTATGATTTCCTCCTTTGAAGACTTTTCCAATAAATTCCAAAGTATTTCTGATGAACGGAACAGAAGCTGTCCAGAGGGATCAGGGTCATTGAGGTGAGCACAGATTCTGCTTGCTGCTTGTGCTTTTAACATTGAGGCACAATTAACTTCTGAAAAATAAAATTAAAAAAAAGATTTAGGTTGTACTGTGTTAACAGTGTTAGGTGGAAACAAAATAGATGTCAATGAAGTGTTTAAGAATGCTATACAAACCAGATGTTGAGAGATGCTGCAGAACTTTAAGCACCCAAAGTTTCTCAACCAGTTGATTTTCAAGCAAGATCATTGACTGGACCATTGTTCTAGCCAGTCCTCCAACCTCAGCCATTTTGATCTTGTATGATGAACTAACTTGCTGGTAACCTAGCACAATTATTTAGAAATATGCAGTTATTTCTCATAATGGTCAAGAGAAGAGGATGAGCAATTTACCATTCAACAAGAGAAACAACAAGAAAAAATTTAAAATAGTATGGCATTTAAAAATTATGTACATACAGATGGGGAATCTTTTTCTGTAAAGAGCCAGGTAATACATATTTCAAGTCAAATTGTGGCATGATATGTATTGTAGTAAGTGACAATAAACAATACCAAAATAAATGGAAATGGCTGTGCTCTAGTAACATTTAATATGGGGTGGGCCAGTTTTGACCTGGGGTCCATAGTGTGTGTATTTCTGATGTTAGTGAATACAAATAAGCCCACAGATTTGTAAGCAATCTCGAAACCCTCCTTTTCCAAACAACACCTTTGTCAGTCGACACAACTTTTTGTAAAACAAAATAGAAGGACTGCAAATAGTGAACGTTTTCATTGTTTGGACAATGCATTTACCTCAGTGCTTTCAAGGACAATAATAACACTGTCAGAAACAAAGTAATAAGAAAAATGTAATGCTGCTCTGATAAATGCTTGTTAATGTAGTGATACTTTACAGAATCTTAGTGCATAGTAATAGTCTTATAAAAATTTCCTATTCGCAATGGCCTAAAAAAGAAAGACAGGTGCCAGTGGTTAACACCTGTTAATCCTATCTCCTCAGAAGGCTGAGATCTGAAGATAGCATTTCAACATCAGTTCAGTGGGGGAGAGGGGAAGGAAAGTCTGTGAGAGTTCTATCTCCAATTAACCACCAGAAAACTGGAAATGGTGCTATGGCTCAAAGTGGTAGACTGTTAGCCTTGAGAGCTCAGGGACAGTGCCCAGACCTGGAGTTCAAAGGCCCCTCAACCCCCCAAAAAATGTTTCTGTGTTAGGTCCTGTGAGATACACTACTTTAACTTCAGTCATATAGGTGCCTCCCTAACTACATTTAATCAAAAGGATTAAACACCTGAGAATTCATACTCGGAGAGATGAAGCCATTTTTCTCTCAAAGTGATCTTAATAATTCCATGATATGTTTACTTTTGAGACGAACTGGCTTCCTTAACTTTGACACAGTTCTGTGTCACAGAATTGAAACAGTTCTGACATAGTTCTATCATGTCTATTTTGATAAATTCTAAACCTGTTTTTTTTACCCATGCTGTTTTTAGTATAATGCCTACTACCTAGCAAACACTTTTACCTACCACATTAATATTTCAAAGTTTATATTTACTAATGTCCTCATTCATTTCTCTAGTTCCAATGTCTTCCCATTTTCTCCTAGTTATAAAAATACTATGGTGAGTTATCATATACATTCTACCCATATTAAAGAATGTATTACTCAAAGTATTATTCATATCTTCTCTCCCTCCCTACACTGATTATAAACTCTACAAACTCTGGAGAAGACTCTAGAGTAATATAGTATCCTCCCAGTCTTAGTGCACAGTCTTGATATTGTTCACATTAATTTGTCATTATACACTAATATTCTTAGCTGTAACATACACATTTTTTCCTCGAAATATAATGGAGAAGAGTACCAGTATTAAAATGTTATTATCTAACTAGGTGAATAGATATTATCATTAATAAGATAATAGGAATATATTTATCAACACTATTAAGCAATTATTAATTATCAGTCCTGGGAATGTGGTTCAGTGGTAGAGTGCTTGGCCTTGAATGCATGAAGCCCTGGATTCAATTAATCAGTACCATGGCTGTGGATCAAGTGGTAGAGTGCTAGCCTTGAGTAAAAGAAGCTCAGGAACAGTACCCAAGCCCTGAGTTCAAGCCCCAGGACTGGCAAAAACAAAGTATGAATTATAGTTATATGGGTATAAAGATACAAATTATGCCCAAATATTTAGCCTTCAAATGAAATTTTCATGCAAACCCCCAAACTGAAGAGAATACATGTAGTTTTTAGAGATGACTGAAGAGGTCAAGATTACAATAAAAAAGTTATTTTCAATGTAGTTCATTTGTGAGACTACTGTTTCTTTGAAATTTAGCAGGAAGTAAGACAAAATTTTCTGTTTTGTAAAAATACAAGTTATTATTGAGAAATTATTTCAAACTCTACCTGGAATATGCTTCTTTGGAGGCTCTGCATGATAGAAGTCAATAATACACTTACAAATATGTATCCTCAGTTCAGAACTTGGTATTTTCATTAATTCACCTGCCAGAAGGATAAATGAACACTGGTGTAAGTTTATTTAAAGCATATAGTATTAATACTAATCAGATTAAAACTATATCCTTTAATTTCATACATGCATACACAGACATATAAAGTCATATTCCATTCATGATGGAATATATTCTGAGAAATTGTTACTTGAATTGTTAATTGAACTTCATAGAGTGTACTTACACAAATACAAGATCAAAGTAAGCATAAAACAAACTGGTTCAATTAAAACACGTGGTAATCCAGGGTGGGTGGCTCCTTCCCACAAATAATCTCAGCTCTCAGAAGGCTGAAATAGGAGGACTGAAAATTTGAGGCCAGATTGGGGTACATAGTGTGCTCTGAGCTAGACTCAGGTACATAATGAACCATCTCATGAAACACATAAAAGAATATAAAACAAACAAAAATAAGCAAAAGGATAACTCTAAATTATAAAAACCAGAAAATACATGCACCAGTAACATAGTTGCTTATTATATGTGCATAGAATTTTCATACAACTGACAGTGCAGGTTTGTGAGTAATGAGATGTGATGTGGTAGTATACCATTATTACATGACAGAAATTTTTTCACTTAATTGGGTTTTATGGGTTCCCATCTTTTATGTGATCTCCTGATGACTGAAATGTAGTAAGTACCTGGAGTGCATTACTATATCTACAAGCACATATACATACATACATACATATATATACACACACACAACATCTTGAATCTTTCCTTATATATTTAGCCTGTCAATCAATTCAATCTTTGCTTTCTAGGGAGAACAGAACTTTATAATTAATAACATAAATACTGGAACCATACCACCTAAGTTTAAATCTTGGCTCTTCTAAATATGTGTGTAATTTTGTGTCATAGCTTTTAATCTGTAAAATGAGTATAACACTAGTTACTACATTTTTGAAGATTTAATGAGTTACTATTGTTGGGACCCCAGTCTAATAACAGTACTCAGAGAGGACGTGATATCCTCCTTGTAAGCATTTCCCTATCCTCACGTCAGTGACAAATGGGTATGTGACCTGTTAAACATCTATCTTCTCTAGATTAAAATTAACCCCGACCCCCATGAAAACTGAATCAGCTTGGAGGGCTAACAAACCCAGGAAACTCAGCAAACAGTGGGCTGTGAATTCCTGATAACAGAGCTCAGAAAGCAAAGGCCAGGAGCCAGAGAGGCGCATCCAATCAGTAACTAGCACATGGGTAGCCCCCTTCCCATCACAGTTACTAACCCCGCTTTTTGCCCACCCAAACTGCGCGCCAAAACCAGCCAGAGGGACAGGCCAGCTCAAACAGCTGTCAATAAACAAGTTACAACTCTATTGGTCACTTGCATGTATCCGGCTTGTCCCTCGTGGTCAATATGCTATCAAAATAGGGTCAGACAATAGCCCGGGGTTCATCTCCGTGGAGGTGGTCCCTGACTGGCCAGTCCATTTCCCGGCGCAAAATAAAGCTTGCTTAATTTTCGCTTTGTGTCAGGCTCGCTTTTTTTGTTCACGGACCCGATATTGGGGTGCTGCCTTAATTGGGCTACCCTATTAACTATACGGGTTGAGAACATGTCAAAGAAACAGTAAGTACTTCACGTTATGTACTGTTTTGGCAAGGTATGTGTTAGTAATTTGCTTCTTAATGAGTGAGCTGGCAAAAATGTTCTCCTTTCCTTAAAGCTAGCTTTGCTCTTCAACTTGTTGGGAGTGTGGAGAGATTGTTTTCTAGCTAATCATCTTTGCCCACAGGCAATAATTTTACTAGGTGGGGTCAGAAAAGTGACTTCCATATTGCTAAGTTTGCTTTAGCTTTTTAATAGTCTAAAGTAGATTGCATTTCCTCCATGGAAGAACATTCCTTGAGGTAAATGTGATCCATTCGCCTTTGGTGCCTTAAGGACACTACAGTCAGCAGCTAAGCAAGCAAGGCTGAAAAGCGAGAAGGAAGTCCAAAGGAGTCTCATCCTGGTTTTAGGACAATCTGCAAAAGTTACCAATTTTATTTTTGGACCTTTCTTTTGGAGTTTGAAAATCACTAAGTAACAGGGAAAGTTTTAGGCAACAGGAATAACTAAACTTTTTGAACAAAACTACCCTAACATGCAAGATAAAGGGAAATTCCTGGATTTTTCCTTTTCTCCATCCTTTAGTTCCTGTAAACTTAGGTCACTTTTCACAGCTTCCTGTTTTTATCACCTTGGGGAAGAGTACCAGCTTCTTTCCTGTACAATTTCAGAATTGTATTCTAGCTCAGAAATATCCATATATCATTAGAAGAAAACATAACTTATTAGTACATAGTACAAATGGGCAGTTATTAGTACAAGTCACACGTAGTTTTTGTTCAATACTTCTTATTGTATACAATCACTTTGGTTCAGACTTGTGTTAACAGCAATTTAAAAAGTGAGGAGAGCAGTACTTGAAGTAAGCAAGCAGTGAAGGGGGTTCATAAGAGTCCTGACCGCTGGAAATAGTAAGGTATTCTGTTGGTGGACTGTCACTAAGCACTGAGTTGGCTGGCACTCAAGAAATGGGCACGATTGGAATACAAATGTATGTCAATACTCTTGAAGGCACAGATACAATTAAAATTAAAATAATGTTACCAGCGAAACCTGCATTTTTTTATTGACAATGCTACCATGTCTTCTTTAGGATTGTTTTCTAGTTTAAGATTGCTACTGAGGCTGGGAATGTGGCTTAGTGGTAGAGTGCTTGCCTTGCATGCATGAAGCCTTGGGTTTGATTCCTCAGTACCACATAAACAGACATAGCTGGAAGTGGCGCTGTGGCTCAAGTGGTAGAGTGCTAGCCTTGAGCAAATGAAGCTCATAGTGCCCAGGCCCTGAGTGGCCTGGCACTGGCAAAAAAAAAAAAAAAGTTATCTACTGTAACTAAGGTTTATAGAAATAAAATCTCCCATTATGTCTTACCCCACCTACTATACAAGTTCTTCCTCTTTAACGATTCATATTTTAATTTTAATTCATATTTAATGTGTTTCAATTTCTATTACACCTAGAGTAGGCAAACTCTTGATAATTTTTCACTGAACATACTTGACATAAAAGAATTGAAAAGGGCTGGGAAGGTGGCTCAGTGGTAGAGCACTTGCGTTGCATGCATGAGGCCCTGGGTTCGATTCCTCACCACCATATAAGCAGAAAAAAAAAAGGTGGAAGTGGCGCTGTGGCTCAAGTGGTAGAGCGCTAGCCTTGAGGTGAAAAGCTGAGGGACAGCACCCAGGCCCAGAGTTCAGGCCTACGACCGGACCCTGCCCCCCGCCAAAAAAAAAGAATTGAAAATAAAAATGCCATGTTAAAAACAAAATAACATAAAAACATAAAACAACATGTTAAAAATAAAAATGCTTTTTACTGCAGTTAAATCACTAAAGCCTTTTTTTGGCATGGAGTAAAATTCTTGTAACATTCAGTAAATACTTTAAAAAACTTACTGGGTTGTTCTTTTATCTTTATTTCTCCTTTACAAATAAACACCTAAATTAGTTAAGTACAAATTGTATATAGGGTTTGTTTTGGGAACATGCTGTCATGTCCCAGGGTCTGACTCAAAGAACTAGAGTTTTACTGATCTGTTTCCTAGGAAATTATATTCTTTTTCTAGAAAATCAAGGAACAACCAACATATAGAAGCATACTTTTTTGTGATTAAGAAAAATATTTGTGAACTAAACATGGTTCCTGCATCTTTATGAATGTTATGTTAAAGTTCTTAATGTTCCAGTTTGTGCTTTAGTTATTTAAATCTTGGATTGTTTAAAGAAGCAAGAGGGACTCAGTGATTCTACTAACTTAGTACGAGAGTTCAAGGTTGAAAACAGAGTTGTTATTACCGAAAGAAGAGGATATATGTTTTCAAAACAACAAAAACAGTTAACAAACATTTCATTAAATGAAGCAACATCAAGTAAGATGAAATAATATCAATTCAATAAAGCTTGAGAAAATATTTTCTAGCTTTTGCATTTAATGCACATTGAATGTTGTTGATATCATGAAACACCTGAGCAGAAAAAAAAATACCAGAATCCTCACCTTGCACACTACAGTTAATTCTCAAGTAGAAAACAGAAACTTCGGTCTAGTTAGAGAGTACTTCTAGTAAAAATAGCTCATTTGCCAGTAGGGCCTGTCACATGCTATATCCTTCTACCTTAAGGCAATCTTAACTTACCCAGAAGTGCAAGTGAATTAGCAGTATCTTCAGCGTAAGTTATTTCATCTGATGCTTTTTTTTTCAAAAAGGGCAAGCTTTAATAAGAATGAAGAATGTCAGAATTAATTTTAGTGAGACCTTTAATTGAAGCATCATTTTTAAACTGGAGAGCCAGGTATGGTGGCACACACTTGAAATCCCCACTAAATAGGAGGTAGATATATAGGAAGATTTACAAGTTCAAGGCCAGCCAAGAAAAGAGACTCTATTTTGTTTGTGTGTGTGTGTGTGTGTGTTTGTGTGTGTTGGGTGGGGAGGCCTGGGGATATAATTCTGGTGGTAGAGTGCTTCTCTAGAATGTGTGAGGGTCTGAGTTTAATCCTCAGTATGTGAGAGGGGCTGAAATTCTAGTTAACCATTTGAGGTTTATTTGTTTTCAAAGATCAGTGCCTTTTATTAACTGGCTTAGAAAATATCCACAAAAGAATAAAATACCTTTGGACACAAGAAAGGTATCTGGGGTTGTGAGGGATGGAGAGAACATGAAAGGGGTGACATTGATCAAGATGCATTGTACTTTTCAACTGATTTATTAAATTGCAATATATCTGTACAATTACTTGAAGTTTAAGCCGAGCACTGGTGGCTCACACCTGTAATACTAGGGACTCAGAAGGCTGAGATCAGAGGATCATGGTTCAAAGCCAGCCCAGGTAGGAAAGTCCATGAGACTCTTATCTCCAATAAATCACTCAAAAAACCTAAAGTGGCACTGTGGCTCAAGTGGTAGAGTGCTAGCTTTGAGCTGAAGAGCTGGGGGACAGCACCCAGGCCCAGAGTTCAAGCCCCACGACTGACAAAAAATAAAATAAAATAAAATAAAAAATAAAAAAATTCAAGTTTAAAAAGTAATTACATTAAAATGACATTTCACAACTACTATAAACTTGTTTGAAATATATACTTATAAATCATAAAAATCAGACACAAGAACCCACCATCATTAGTCTAACTTTCAAAGATTTGAAAGTTGTTCTTATTTTTTTCTCAACTTATATTAGTTATATGGGCAGTGCACAAAAGATTTCATTTTTCCATCTCCACATTTTTATAATGTATTCCAATTAATTGCATCTCTTTTCCTGCCCACTTTCCAGAACAATTACGACAGGCTTAATTTTCTATTTTTATAGTTCCAACAATCTATTTCAATTGTATTTAACCTCATTTTCTTTGTTAGCACCATCTCTTCACACTAGTACTCATCCCCACAGGGCCTACTTCTCCTTCCCTGACTCCATCCCTTTCACTGATCAACAGCTTCCATTCAAGTTTGCTGTTTTCACATATACTTGTAATATATTATGGAATCACTCACACTCTTTTTCCTTTCCCTCTTCCCCTCTTGCATAATCTTAGTCTGATTTATATTCGACATTTATTCATATAAATATATATAAATGTACATGAATATGTATGTCATTTAGATCTAGCTTCCATACATCAGTGAAAACATATGGTATTTTGTTTTTGTTGTACAAATGTTGTCTCACTCAATATAGAAATATTGAGTGAATGAACAAAGTAACACTTCCAGCTGGATGTGTGGCTCAGCCAAACAAGCAGATAAAGTGGGCATGATATTCTGAGTTCAAACCCCAGTATGACAAATAACAAAAATTTCAAAACTGGTACATTATAATATATATCTTGATTAGTCATTATGTGGAACACAAAAACTTTATTATATCTTGAAGCATTATATATGTTGTAGAAACAACAATAGAACATTTAGCACATCATTTAAAAAATTCTCACCTCTAGTTTATATTTTAAAATATATACCAAACATAATTGGTGACATTCTATTCTTTATTAAAAGTAGGAAAATAACATAAAATAAGAATACAACCTAATTTATCTTTGAGAGACAGATTTTTTTTTCCTTTTTTTCTTTTTGTCAGTCATGGGGCCTGAACTCTGGGCCTGGGCGCTGTCCTTCAACCCTTCAGCTCAAGGTTGCACTCTACCACTTGAGCCAGAGAGCCATCTCCTACGTTTACTGCTTATGCGGTGCTGAGGAATCGAACCCAGGGCCTCATGCATGCAAGGCAAGTACTCTACCACTGAGCCACTTTCCCAGCCCTGATAAACAAATTTTCTAAAGAGAAAGTGTGGAACAAAAACAAACCAAGGATCATAAAACCATACAATTTAAAAAATTTTGGCTATCAATCTTAAACTACAAGAAAAGTGACACACTCAAAATTCTAACTGCTGGAATGGATGAAGTTTTCTGAGTTTTGTATCACTCTGCTACATGGGAAAGCATAGAATCTTTGTAATACAAAACAAAACAAAAAAACAGAAAAAAACCCAAATCATAATACTACATGTTAATACAAAATGATGTAACTGAAATTACTTACCCACACAGTTTTAGGATCTCATATACAGATTCTATAAAACGTGGCTGGTTTTCAACTTTTATTGCACACAGATTCAGAATCTTAAATATCTGTGTTAACTCCCTTAAGGGCTTTAATATTTTTAGTTAAGAAGTTAACGTTAATTTCTTTATTAATATGCAGCTCATTAACATTTGTCAAAAACTAAAATATTTTATTTTTTAGATATGGCGGGTCTTATTTTAATTATTATTTTGAAGTATAAAGAGAAAAAAATTAAACTATATTTTTGCAGTACCATTTAATTTTTGCCTCTGTATCTTTATTCAAATTTATTTACACTTACCACCACTTTAGTATTTGATTATCACCTTTTATACCACATATATAGTTGGTTAATAACTTACTGTCGACAATGATTAAAAACACATTGAAAAAAATTAACTTGATGGTTAGGCTAAACCATACCTTTAATTTCTGCTCACACCTACAAATATATACTCTTTTGGAACAATTTACTCTACTGTATTACTTTATTAGCACTTAACTCAGATGTATTTCATTGTATTTAAAGTTTAAATTAGGATTTTACTTCATTTAAAACTAGCATTGAAGGAAAAATACAGCCTCTCTAAATTCAGGTAAAAGAATGCTTTATTTTATCTGTTTTAAAGACCTCTGGGTATATAAATAATTTCATTCATTTAGTTTTATGGCTAAAAAGTCATAGCAGTTATGACTTACATTTCTTGACTGAATTGTTTTATTTCTAGCTTCTTTCAAGGAGCTTCTTAGCAAGAAAAGTGACTGCTGAATATGCCAGAAATATACACCTCTGTTAACTTCCTTGGGAAGCAGCCAAGACACTACCCTAACTTCTAAAACCCGTCTACTAAAGGCATTCAGAAATAGAGATATGTGCCACCAACTGCCTAATCCTGAAAAAAATGATGGAGGTGTTGAGGGGTTAGGTTAAGACAGAAAAAAAAAAACCCCACTTGTGAGTACGCTTTCTTGATAAATAATGCTTAAACATTCACAGGTTTTCATATTTACAACATATATAATATATAAAATATAAAATCAGGCTAAAAAAAGAAACAATTTAGATGAAATTATGTGACACATTTCTCTGAAAGAGAGGCTTGAGATATATTGAAGTGAGACAAACTAATAGTAGACTGACATATTCTTTTTTTTTTTTAGACTGACATATTCTTTAGAGCAAATCAGACAGCTGTCAGAGATGTCAGATCAATTCCACTCACAGTGGGGTCTACAGTCCACTGCCTCTTTGGAAATTACATTACATTACATAAATAAATATAGACAGTGGATATTTAAAACTTTTATAACAATCTAATATTCCTTTTACTCTATTTTTACAATAAGATGTTTACACAAAAAAAGCAAACTAATCACTCAGCCAGATACTGATTCTTTTGTACAGATAGCTCTTAAGTCTGAGATACACTGCTGTCCTCAAATACAAACATATATTGAAATGTTTTGCAGATTATGTTTCAAGCACTTCTATCAACATTATCCCATCTTAATGAACATGATCTCTAATTTCTTAACAACCTCATTAGTTATCCATCTATCTTTCATAGGGTGGAGAAGTTAATAAGTTTATCAAAGTACACTGCCCAGTAAATTGGCCCTCCTGACTATATCAAAGATGTTGTAAATCTATAGAAAGTCATTATCCACAGATCATAACAATATAATGAACAGGATAATGGCCTCCCCAAGATGTTCATGTTCTAGTCTCAGGAATCTGTGAATATGTTACCTCAGATGGAAAAAAGAATTACTCATATGTGCTTAAGTTAAGGATCTAATGATGGGAAATTATACTAGATTATCTAGGTGGGTCTAGTATAAGGGAGAGGAAAAGTAGATGTGATGACATATACAGAGATGAGAGTTATAACACTGGGAGGTGGAAGATCATGAACCAAGGTATGCAGAAAGCCTCTAAAAGATGTGAAAAGCAAGGAAAGAGACTTCCCTCTGGCATCTTTAGCAGGATCAGCCCTGCCAACATCTTGACTATAGCCAAGAGAGATTGATTCTGGATTTCTGACCTCTAGAAGTATAAGACAATAATTTATATTGTTTTAAGTTACTAAGTTAGCAATAATTTATTATAGCAGCAACAGGAAGATAATACATTTTCTAATACAAATTCTTATGTTTCAAGATAAAAAAATACACCTATCTGTAAAGGATACAAGTCCATTTTGATAATATTGTACCATTTTCTTGACATATTTAAGTTGTTTTTCTTCTAAATCATCCTAAAATAAACATACTATTTTAGTTTTGTGCTATTAAATCTGCTGATATTTTTTAAAATTTTTCTTTAACCTAAAAAGTAAGTAAAAAACATTAAAGTTATCAAGTAATTTTTAAATTATTATGAGTATAAAATGTTTCCTAAAACAGTGGAGGTAAAATGAGCTATTACTTAAATTTGATTAGGAAAAGTATAAATCAAAATTAGTTAATATAAAGCTGTAATTGTTTCCAGAAATCATATTAACAATAGTTGAAGTACATTGAACTTTTTCTTTGTTGCGTATCATATCAGCATTATGTATAAAAATTACTTCATTTATCTTCAAAATGCACTATTGCCAGGGTATTATTCTTCTTCTTTTCCAGAGCAGGACACATAAACTGAAATACTTTATTTTTTCCAAAAATATTTGGATAAAACTGGTTCTGCTTGGAGTTTAATTTGGTAATTTGCTCCAGAAATAGTATTTGCATTGTCTAACACATGCTCAGTGTACTGTGCAAACAAAGTAGCTTTAGTCAACTAAAAACAAAAACAGGCCAACATATATACAGTAACGTATTTTTGTTGTTTTTGTTTTTTGTTCTTTTGTCGGTTGTGGGGCTTGAACTCTGGGTCTGGGCGCTGCTCCTCAGCTCTTCAGCTGGAGGCGAGCGTTCTACCATTTGAGCCAAACGCTACTTCTGGTTTTTGGTGGTTTATAGGCGATAAGAGTCTCAGGGACTTTCCTGCCCGGGGTTGGCTTTGAATGACGATCCTCAGATCTCAGCCTCCTGAGTAGCTAGGATTACAGGGGTGAGCCACCAGCGTCGGGATAGTAACGTGTTTTTAAGACTGAATTTTTTCCGTTCTTCAAACTGTGAAAGGCTGTGACTTTTTCTACCGTCTTATTTCTTCAGTCTTACTTTAAACAAAAGACAGACTAGCCTTTCTTTACTCTTACAAATCTTTCTGTTTATAGCCACCATGGGTTTGTCTATCTCATAAAACAAATTTTCCTACTCCAGCCTTCCTAACTGCTAAAATACCCTCCAACTAAACTTAGATATGCTGTGTGAGAATTTTCAATGAAAGGAGGTAAGTGAGACATATACTCAGGGAAATAAGTTTGTAAGAAATGTAGCAGAGTAATTTTTTCTCAATACTACTTACCTTGTCTTTCTCTTCAAGTATTGTGATGATACGATGAAGGTCCATAGGCTTGAAAACACTCTAAGAACATACAACTGTTAGAATTCTATGTCATGAAAGCATATCGTGTACACTATTTTTACTTGACATTTTTCTTTAGTAAGTTAAAAATATCTATAACAATAAGACAGTAAGGGGAAGAATAAAAAAAAATGAGGCCTTATCAGAGAGCAAATACATTTTAGAGTAATAACAAAAATCTCTCTTAAAAATCCCTCTTAAATCTATTATCTTATAAACTTAATGAGTTAAATTTTAACTTGCCATAAGAAGCCAAAGAGCCTATTTGGAAAAATAGCACTTGTCCATCTTGTAGAAGATAAAATTTTCTAGTGTACACATACATATTATACAAGCTTTGTCTATGTAGATATATGATAAAAACTACCTGCTAAATTATAGGTAGATGAACTAGGTATCTCCCTCTCATTTGGTATCTTAGGGCTCCAGTCATCCACACCAGAAAACAAGAATTCAAAACTGTACAGATTTCGCTTAAGTATTTCTTTAGCTAATTTCAGTGACTTGCTTCATTATCATCTCTCACTCATTTTCACACTTATTGGTCTTCTCCCAGGCTCTGCTCTAACACCCATAGACAAGGGCTCTATGGTCAGAATAACAAAACTAATCTGGACTTAACCAATGGAAGCCATTTAATGAGCCCCCCACACTGACTGCTTATTCAATTCTTTGAGTTTCACTTAAGTTGTTACAATCCTGTTTTTTTTTTTTCCTTGCTTAATTCTCACCAGTCCTTTAGAATGAAACTCAAGTGCCACCTCCCAAAGCATATAAAAAAACTAGAAAAATATCTCTTCTATACTCCCATAGAGCCTAATGTATACCCATCAAAATTTCCACCACTTTCTTTTTTTTTTTTAATTAAATTTAATTTTTTTTTTGTGAACATACTGTACAGAGGGGTTACAATTACATGGGCAGGATAATGTTTCTTATCAAGCATTGCAGCCTCCTCCTTTGTTTACCCTTCACATCCTTCCCAGCTTCCTCCCCCACCACCAACGTTGTAAAGGTCGTTTTCGACATGACAACTTGTACTTCTCAGGTTTATGTGTTTATACCGTATGAAGTCTGCTTGAGTGAGAGGGCTTTTGTTTCTGCTGTTCTTAACACTCTGGGCTTGGCATGCAGCATTGTTAGTTGTTCAATAAGTGCTCATTAAATGTAATGATTTATAGGTAAGTGAGGACAAAACCAGGAAATGTTATCATCGAAAGTTTAAAAACTTACAGAATCCTTGAAATTTTAAATGCAGTTGTGGCTATCTTTCTCTGGAAGATTAATGCTTTTTTTAACTCTGATTAGGTTAATATTGCTTACTCCAGCTATGGGAGGTAAGCAACCCAAGTTCCCCACCTCCTACATTCACACTTAGTTGTACTTTAATGAAACTGTTTGAAAGTGTTCCAGGAATTGGTTAGAAAGTGTTGTAGCATGGTTCATACCATCCCTCGGCTATCATGAAGTAAAAACAAACAAACAAACAGGGTGCTCCAAGCAACAGCACAAATATCACCTGGAAACTAGAAAAGCAGGACCCAAAGGTTCAGTTGAAATCCATATTATAGTAAGATCTGCATGTGCTCCCCCACATTAAAACCTGGGAAGTGCTGCTCTTAGAAGACATGAAACAACATTAAACTACATAGAAAACATATAGAGGGTAACCATTTAGGCGCTTGGCAAATTGCACCTGATTAAGGTAAATTTTATTGTCCTGCCCATCTCCTCCCAGGAGAAATGTACTTCATCTTTAATCGATGTCACCACTACATTCCAGTAGAAAGCTATAGTACACAAGCACATGAGAGTAATACTAGAAAACCCATCTGAGAATTGTTTTTCTACTTGGCTGCCCTAGAATTATACCTGGTAAAAATTCATCTGAGTTACTAATAGGAGGAAAAATTTAAAAAGCTGTCATTAGTCATACATAAAAATCAGAATAGTTACCACTTATGGGCACTTAAAATGTGTGCTAAGCTCTGTGATAATTAAATGCCTTGCAAGTACTTTGAAGTTTAGTTCTTACACTATTTCCATGAGGAAGGCATTTCTAAATGTCTTTACAGATGAGGAAACCAAGACTTGAAAAAGGTAATTAGAAAATGTCAAAATTTCTAATACCATGTTATGAAACCTAAGACGTATGATAAACTGGTTTTTTAAAGAAAATGTAGAATAATTATAACAGCAATCATAAAACCTTTTTTTTTTTTTTTTTTGCCAGTACCAGGACTTGAACTCGGCCTCATACTCGCTTAGTTTGCTTGATCATAACACTTTACCACTTGAATCAAACTTCTGGCCTATGTTTTTGCTAGTTAATCAGAGATGGTGTCTCATGGACTTTTCTGTTCACTCTAGCTTTAAACTGTAATCCTCTAGATCTCAGGTTTAGGGTTGTAGACATGAGCACTGGCACCTACTTTATAAATGTTCTCATAGATAGAAAATTTAAAAATAGAGTGCTCAGGTAGAATATCTTTCTGTAAAAGCACAACATGGACCAAAAATTACAATTAAAAATTCCAGATTCCTAAACTGTTGTTTCTCTTAGTTATTAACTGCAAAGTCATAAGCTGTATTTCAATTTCCCATAGTTCCATCTATAAGCATTTCATATTTAATCAAGCTAAAAATCTAATATTCTGCAAATAAAATTTTGGTAGCTTAGTATTTACAGTAACTGCTGTCTTCTGTAAAAGTTATTTGTGTGGTCTTTCTATATTAGGAAATCTCCAGCTGATATTTTAGAATTCCAGAAATCCATTTATTTTAAAACCAAGATAATTTTTAGGAACTCTAGTTTCCTGGATGAAGAATGATGATGCTATTGATGTCAATAACTGCCTATTTTCCATATGCAAGGCACGGGATAATATTATTTCACTTAATCTTTATACAATTACCTCCATGGACTTAGGGTACTTCCATAGCTGGTACATGATGGAGTGGCTGCACCTCAATTTCAGCCCTAAACCATTTAGCCACTGTCTCAAGCATAGGCAGAGGAAAAAGCTCCAAAGTTAGTAATCTGAAAGGACTGGAAGCATTTAGATAGTTTCCAAGGTCTTCCCACCACAGCCCCAAGGCAGAGGTCTAAAATTTCATCATTTTTACTACTTGTAGTAACACTACATCTCACTCTTGGACTAAGGAAACTAGGTAACTCTTAGTTTATTTCTCATAACTTTACTTCCTCATTAATAAATGCAACCACAAATTCCAAAATACAAAGAAAGCCTAAGCAATTGGAAGACTCCTCCAAGCAAACCATTCTGTTCTATTTCATTTCTTTGGATACAAACTGCCTTTCTCCTCAATATTTCTAAAAACGTTAAGACTTCTAGAAGTAGAAGCAGAAATGTGAATGAATGCAAATTTTTTTTCCTGAAAAAGATCCTAAGTCTGCTTAGAAGGAGAAATGGCAATGCAAGAAAAAAAGAAACCAAAAGGAAAAGAGAAAGACACACATACATATACGGAGGAATACTCGTTTTGTGGTGTTTCCTATGTGAAAGTTTGGCAATGCCCTGTTAAAAGTATTTCTCCTTTTATCCTTTTAACCTATACTTGCCTGCCTCATATAACCTTGCCTATTATTTCTTACACTGAATAAAAAAAAAAATGCGAGCCACCAGTCACCAAATTCACCTACTTCTCAGTTTTTCCCTGTGCCTAGAAGTCTTATGGTCTTGAGCTTCTTGGTAGGCTTCTGAAATACGGTTGCTTATAGTTCTCCCCTCCTGGACTGGAATATCTCCACAAAACCGATTAGGTAAATTCCCCTGCCTTCAACTCTCCAACAAAGGAACTGTTGCTCTGCAAGTTTTTGCGTAAATGTCTGATGTTCCTTAGAGAGCTCAACCCTATTCCCACAGAAGATGTCTCCAGCCACCTGGCCACCCTCAAGGAACTCTCCAAGGGTCCAGGATATGAACGCAGAAGATCAGTTCCTGACGCAGCCTGAGACTTGTGAAGCCTCAACAGGAATTCCCAGCGTGGCCCCACGCCATTAGTGGTGAGGCAGCTGAGGATTCCTCTCTAGGATTCGGGTTTTCAGTGCAATCATGGCTCTCCAGGGATGCATGGCTGCTAATGATACAAAAGAAGTGGGGTTTCCTAACACCCACACCAGGAATGCAGACCCAAACAGGGGTCTCCAAGTGCAAATTTTGTCAACCAAACTTGGAGGAAAAAAAAAAAAAAAAGGTAATTTTGTATTCAAAACAAAAAACACATACAAGCACAATGAAAAACAAACACAAAACACATTTTCCTCCTAATTCTCTCTAACCTCCACCCGGTTAACAATCACTTTCTAACTCCACAGTGCAAGTTTACAATAGCTGTAAATTAAAGCCCGGGGAAATTTATTGTCGGTATTGAGAATATTGCTTGATATCCGAGATGTACAGATTAAGATCCCAGTGTAAACAAAGCTATCCAATCAGGTTTCACAGAGAATCATTCATTCCTCCTCAGGGTTCCCAAAGAGCAGCAGGGCCTTGGCTACTCGGTGTGGAGAGGGATGCTCCAAGGATGTCGCAGTCCCCGAACAGGTTGGTTGACGACAGCCAGCCCCCTCCCCCCCCCCACCCCCCACCCCCCCCCCGCCAGGGCACAGGCCGCAGGGGACCGGCTTTGCGCGGGAACCGCCCTCGCTCCCGCAGGCCCCCGAGTCTGCACTTGGATCCTCCTTTCCAGCCTCCGGCCTCCGGGCCTCTGCCCTGACCCCGGGCTTCTTCCCCACTGCCCGCCTCCGAAAGCACAGACGCCTGCTTGTACCTGCATCTCCTCATCCTCGGTCACCACCCCGATCACCGGGATCTGGCGGGGACTGATGGACTTGCTCCGGACGCCACGACCCGGGGCCTCGGCCGGGCCCGCGGCCTCCGCGGAGAGCATGGCTGGGGCGGGCTGGGGAGGCTTCTGGTCCTTCACTGTGTCTGCAGCCGCTGGACTCCGGGAGGCTCCTACGGAATAGGAAAGGCGGCCTGACAGCTGCTAGAGTCGCCAAAGGTCCCGAGAATCTGGCGGTGGGCGCGAACCCCGCGCAGCAGCCGGCATAGCGCAGCCGCAGCCCACCCAGGCGCCGCCGACCGCGAGGTTGTCAACACGCCGCCGCGTTGCTAGGGGGCGGGGCCGAGCGCAGGTGCCTACGGAAAGCCGGACAGGCAAACTTCCCCAAAAAGTGATCGGTGGGCCTTTGAGCTCCAGGTGGGTGCGCTTGTGGATGTGGAGGAGGTGGGGACCAGAGATGGTGAGTGGAGAGGGAGAGTCGGAAAATGGAACGTTAGGCTGCGAATGAGGCTCTGTCATGAGGGGTTGCTAAAAACAGGCATGTGTAGCGCAGTGGTGAGGGTGGAATTGGGAGATGCATTCTGGGTGTTAGGATGGCCAGAATGTTGAAAGCAGAACAGCCCACCTCCCTCACCCCAGAAATAGGAGCAGTCTCACCTAAATTCCCGGACTTGTACGTCTCTTGGACTTCATGACTCAACTGGACAGTTAAAACGAACAAGGCATTGTGCACAGGTTAAAAAGCTTTTATTAGGATTGGGAATGTACCTCAGCGGTAGTATTTCTCTAGCATGCACCAGGCCCTGGTGTTCATTCCTGGCAAAATGAGTGGGTGGGTGAGTGGCTGGTGATGGTGATGGTGAATCTAGAGCAAATTAGCCCTTAAGGTCTTATTTTCTCATCTGTGAAGCAGAATTGTTGCTGTGCTTGAATGAAATGATAATAGTGTTCCCTTAAATGGTCCTTGATATATCATAAACACCCAGTATGATCAAGATTATTCTCTTTACTATTTCTGGCCTTTATCCATGAGTTCTAGGTATACTCTGAATAATATGCATGGGTCAGGAGTTGAATAGAAAGTGTCATATAATGCTCACTAGTATAATTTAGCTCCAAAGACAATGATTTGGAAGTCTTAAAAAAATCCTTTAAATATATATTGTTAAAAACTTCCAAAAAGTCTTAAAGATTTAGCTATATCTATAAAATATATAGAAAAAGTCATGTCATTTCATTTCTCTCGGCTTCTGTCCTCATTTGTAGAATGAACAAGCTGTCATCGGTGATTTCTAGATTTCTTTCTGGCTCAAACATTGGCCCTAAAATGGAAAAGGAAAAACTAGATTGGGTCTGGTAGCACTTAATGTAAATCATAGCCAAGAAAGTAAGGTACTTTGATGAAATACTGAACAAAATTCAAGTCTCTATTTCCACATAAATCTTGTATTTCTTCTCATTCTGTCTTCTGAACTGCTCTGAGATCACCAACACTTATCAGTATATGAACACTATTCTGTCCTCATCCCATTGTACTGTAATCCATAGTTTGCTTTACTGTTTCTTTCTTAAAACCATCTTGCTGATATTTCCACATTCCTTTTGCTTTGCTTTTGTCTTTACAGAAATGCATTAGTGTCTTTAAAGCCACTCACTCTCAGGATGTGTGCAAATTCAGTAAGTTTAAGGATACTATCACTCAGGAAGTGTGAAAAGGGTATTCTAAGTGTTTTGTCCACATGACTTAACTTACTAGTGAACAGTCCAAGGACACAAAGAAACTAAAACCACTTGGATAAACACAATGGAATCTCTTGATGATGAGACCCCCCAAACCAATATGGTGGTGGAAAGCTGACCATTGAATCAGTTGTGTATGCTTTCTGTCTTTATTCTGATGGTATCTCAGGATAAAGAAAAATAAATGGTAAAGGTTGCAAAACAAAATTTTCCACTTAAAGCAGAATTTGTCCAAAAGATATCAACTGAACATTGTGTTTTATAGCAGGCTTGAAGCTGGTAAAGGTCTTTAAACATCAGTGACCTTGAGAAATCAGGCTCTTGTCATTGGACCTACATGAAGGCACTTTCCTGAGTAATGAACAATGTGATATTTTCCTTAACCAACTGTCTACAGACATGTAGATTCATTGTGTCTTATATCCAGAGTGCCAGTTTCCACTGCTTAACTAGCAAACTTCATGAACATTTTGTTTCTTACACTTAGAAACCTTCACTTTTCTCACTCAAACAGTAAAATCTTCATTGGATGAGTTTCCTACCTAGCAAAATTAGTAACTCAATTCTCTAATTGTGGAGGGTGGAGCTTAGATGGTATTGCTTTAGTCATTGACAAGGTAAGATGCTATGAGGATGGATTCTCAGTAAGTCACCTTGTGTAGATTACTTTTAGTTTTCCAAAGGTGCTACCCTCCTCTTTTTGATGTACATTCTACTGTTATCCTTTCTTCTCCTTGGGAGTTTGGTTCCTGGCTACTCTCAATACCAAAATCCCAGGATATCCAAGTCCCTTACATAGAACATAATGTGTATGACCAATGCACGTCAACTCATGTACTACTTTAAATCATCTCAAATTACAACGTAAATGTTATATAAATAGTTCAACTGTTAATTAACAAGGAAAGTAGTGTGTAGATGTTCAGTACATTTTTCTCATACTTGCTTCACTACTGGCTAAACCCATTGATTCAGAACCTCCTATGGATTGAAAGGGCCAAGTGTACATGCCACCATCTACCATCATAGATCAATGAAAACTTGTCCTCAGGACTGTTAACAAATCTAGATTTTGAGTTTTCAGGGTTTAATGTCTGATTTTATTAAAACACTTATTTCATGCTTCGTTTTCTATTCGGAGACCCTACTGTGCTAGCCTAGATTCTCTGAGTTTGCCGACAATGTACAATAGCCCATACATTAGTGGAGAATGTTATCTCTGGCAGTAGTTGGGAAAAAATGGAAGTAAGTCAGTAAAGATTGGGTGGAAATATAGATGTTATTATTGTAGTCACTGCATTAGCACAAATCAGTCAATTGCTTTGTCTTTTAGGATATTTTCACGAATGCCTTTTGAATTGTAGTTGGAACAGACTCTCTGGAGGAATGGAAGGGAGGATTTATTCACTAGCTTCATCTTTTGATATATTTCCCGTGTAATATTTATCACAAATTTATACTAAAAAGTCATTTATTGTTCATCTGCAATTAAAATTTAACTGCGAGTTCTGTATTTCATCTATCAGTCCTGCTGTCAGGATTCACATTCATATTTTCAAGCAGCATCTCTGTGACCCTATGCACAAACACAGAGGTTGGTTTCTCCTCCCCTGTGCTGCACTGTACAGGACTCAACAGAAAGCAGGGTGCAGGGTTGATGGCATGGCTATGACTTTCCTCTAACAGAACAGGGTCACTTTAGGCCACTGCACAGGAGGCAAGGGAAGAGAGGGAGCCAAGAGAGAGGAGAGGTGTGGGAAAGCAGCACAAGGAAATAGTGATAGCTGTATGGACACAGAGAGCTAAATAACATTATTTTCTGTGAAAAGAGTCCTGATTCGTTATAATATCTCTAGTATCTATGGCACTAGATCCTGGGGAGTTAGTAATGAGTACAACAATATTCATGCTACCAGGAAGCTTACAGAATAGCTTGAATATTACAGGCAAACCAACTGAAAAATGCTTAATGAAATGATTGTAAAAATATCACCTCATTAAATGGAGGTTTTTCTAAATGACTAGTTTGGTAAAACAACAACAATAACAAAGTTACCCCTTCCAAGCAAAACTATCATTTGGATTGCTTTTATCAAATGGATACTTCCAAAAAAGATAGAAAAGCATTGGCATAACTTCACCAAATATAGGAATTATTATTCAGTAATAGCAACAATAAATTGTATACACATCAAAAAAAAGAAGTTAAAACACTAAATAGATATTTTTTATTTGGGTTTTTATAAGGCAGATCTATGAGAATGGTATAAAAACATGGCATGTATTTTGGTAACAATACTAGAGATTACAGAGTTTTAGCAAGTATGAGCCACACACATTTACAGAGAGAACAGTATTTTCCACGCAGGTACAAAATAGACAATGAAAAAAATCAAGGCAAGAGAAAGATTCCAATTAACAATAGAAAATCAATTGTAACGTAAATTGCATGTTACCTTTTAAAAGCTTTTAAAGGTAAGATTTATTGCCATCTATCTTATTCAACAGTGTTAAGCGGTATTATGACAAAGGACTGAATGGCAGAAAAGATTACTCTAGATTTCACATAATACAGAACTCACATCTAAATGACTTACTTGGAGGAAAAAAACACAATGGAAGTAGATAATAGTGGTCTTTAATCTGCTTTCTGTAGGGTGTGGATTGGGCCCTCTGGGGGCAGTTGTCATAGATGCACACTATCAACAGCAAAATGGATGGAGGAAGAGGAACACATCTTGCTGTCCTTGCAGACTTCATCTCACTGGCCAGCTCTCAATCAACATCTCTCTCTCTATATATATGTATACACACATACACACACATATGTACACACACACACACACACACACACACACACACACACACACAGGGCAGCTAGGAACAGTGACCCATTGAAGCTGTTACAGAAGCAGGGAAACAGACATTGGGAGACAACTTCCAATCCTTGTTTATAAAGACATCAGCAAAACTATAGAAAACCTTCAAAGAGGATCTCTAAGAGAGTATGTTCCTCAAATTGGCAATTTGGAAGTACTGTAATTTGGAGAATCCATACATCTTGCCCTAACTTTGGATGAATGCATGGTGGATATTCATGCAAAGTTTAAAAAATTCTCAGTATGTGTGTTAGGCTAAATACAACCTCCACCCCCTTTTAAAACTATAATATGGATAGAATCTCTGAAAATTAAACATGTTATAATTTTCCTATACTCAAAAAAAAAAGCAAAAGAACCCATTCATCCTATAACATTCAATGTTCAAAAGCTAGAACAGATTCATCTGGAGTTAGTCTAAATATATGGCAGAATTTTTTTACTGACTTAAGAACAATTGAGAGTTGAATATCTGATTTTCCTTACAATACATCATAAATATAACTTTACCACTGAACTAAGGTATCTATACTACATGTAACATTTCTATGAGTCATAATTTTACAAAATCATTTCAATACATCATTTTAAATGTTAACATATAAGAACAGGGACTTTATAGACTGATGCAGCTAAATGTGTTCAGTGTTTACAGTATTCTGAAAGAAATACTTATGAATTATATTTAGGGTACTTACTTAAAATATAACATTCATAAATATATTTTAACTAAATGTCTTTTTCTGGAGAAAATATTTTATTATGAAATAGTTTAATAGCAAAAGTCAATTAAAAAGAATTAATATTATATTACATAAGAGATTAACATAAAAATTGAGGTTATTCTTGAAGCACTTTTACAGAAATAATTTTTAAAATGTAACTATAATATGACTACAAATACCTTAATTTAGTATTATCAAATTAACCTTAAAAGTAAAATTCTTTATCAACTCAAAGTTATTCTAATTTTATGTTTATAATCAGGAGTTTATCAATGGAGCTCATTAGCTACCTCATATGTGGAAGAGAATAATTATCTCTGAGAAATATCTGTAAATATAATTTACTCAGACTTTTACATACTTTAAAAGTTAAACAAAAATCTTGCATGTAGATAATCTGTGCTAAACTTCGAGGTATGCTTTTAAAAATAAATGTTAGTATGAATATATTCATATTTAAATGTGATTTAAAATACTTTTAATAGAGGATACATATGAAAACTGTACACAAAAGCTATATAAGCATAATACAGCTCATGGTTATTTTCCTCATAGGAAAAAATTATTTGATATTCTTTGCATAGGCTCAAACCTGGGTATATTTCCTACATTCTCATAATTTTTGCAGGGGCACTTCTTGGGAAACAATTCTCACATGTTGTAACAGCAAACTTTAATTCTTCTGAGGCCAGAAAAAAATGATCCAAAGGTGATTATGAAAAACAATGAAAAGAAAAATAATCATAGAAACAGTAAGACCATCAAAATTCAATAGATTTAAAATTTTAGGAAATCATTTAAACATTTAGAATTACAATGAATGCATTTTATTCTGAAACGTCAAAATTATTCCACTTTTTTCTAGCAATGCAAAGCCATTTAAAATAACACTTGCATCTTTTGTGCACTGCTTTATCAGATTTTCAAATGCCCAATTTATCTATAATAGTGACAGTTTTGTATATTATTGGCTATTTAATATCTACATACAACACCTAACTAGTCATTTAAAATTTAGAACTACTTCATTGTATTTCAGTATTAAATGGTTAAAGTGTGATCTTAAGAATAAAAGAAACAAGAAAGTACTGATACGTTGTTATTTTCACTAATTCCTAGCATCAGTATATTTATCATTATCACCCTACTGAATACTTACTAATAACGCAGTCTTAATGAAAAGGGAAGAAAAGTAATCAATATAAAGAAAATGGGTAGCTCAGTAAGTACAAGATATTAAACTTCACCAAACAAGAAAAGTTTAGGGAATCACGAGTGATTTCCCAGAGCCATTGAATGGGAAAGGTAGATGGTACTAAATTAAGCCCATTCACTGGGCAGCTGGATTCAAGTTAATGGGTAACTCAAGAAATGATATAGTTTTAGAACAGAAATGCATATGATTGTATCTTGTCTGCAACCTTCTGTTTTAATAAAAAAGGAGAAAATGTAGGGCATCCTGAGACTTGAATGGAATGCAATTTACGCGTAGAATTTCAGCACTAAGAAATTTTATGAATAATTGCTATGATGATATGTTTCCATCAGATTTATAATTGACCACTTATTTTAATATCCTTCATGATTAGTATAAATTGCTCTCTAATGAATGGTTATAGTGGCAGAGGGGTTTCTCAGGAAGAGAAGAGGAGATGACTGCTTTTACAGAGATCTATAAAGTGTCTTCAAGTCCTCAGCAACTCATTAACACCCCCATGGTCCTCTCTGATTGAGGCCTCCCTTGCATAGAGAGGCCTATGGACTCTGGTAGATCGCTAGGTCAGACCTGTGTAGCTAAGTCAGGACTTCCCTACCAGAAGCAATAAATTTATGGATTGGGTATTTCCCTACATCATTGGATGCACATAACCCACCTCAAATGATTCCTTCGTATAAAAGAGAAAGTATCTAGACTGACCTTATGAATGTAATGTATGGAAATAAAACAGGGTTAAATACTCTAGTAGTTAAAACCCCAGCTTCTAGATGATTACTACCTGGACTCACCCTGTACTTACTCATGGTGTGACCCTGAATGAATTACTTTCTACCCTCCATTTCCTTATGCATAAAACATGGACAATTACCTATTTCATGGGGTTATTGCAAGTAATAAGTAGAATAGATCTTGAATAGATAATATAGAATAGATACTTTAAGTAAAGTGTTTACAACCATGCTCTCCCCACCCTGACACTCCCGGGGAACATCAGTAAATTCCACACCATGTATGGTGGTTACTGGCTAAAGATCAATTTAATGATCAGCTGCTGAATAATTACTCATATGTAAACTTGACAACTAAGAAAAGCTGTACAAATCCCAGGATTGGTACTCTACTATATTAGACATCAGCTTTGAAAGTGAAATGTTACCAAATCCTTTCCCTGTCAGACATATGAATTGTACAGTAAAACTGCTCTGAAACATATGAAGAACAAAATCTGTCATGATTATCACTATGTATTTTATGTCTCCAATGAATTTTAAATATAATTTCATGTTTTTAAAAGAATGTGTTTGGTTACACAATCACATGGCTTTGCACAATTAATGGCTTTCTTTAAATCCTGTCTTCTGAGAAGTATAATAATCTTCTCATGAATACTTACCAAGATGCTAATATTATGTGTCCTTTCTTAATGAGGTCTGATGGCATATTTCTACTTCTTAAGCTGGGTAAAAATTAAAATCTTAAGTTACAGGATATGGGTATATCCACTGAGCTATATTAAAAGATCCTAATTCTGGCTTGTAAAGTATTTTTAAGATTATGTTACATCTAAGGACTCTACCATTTGAGCCATGTCCCAGCCCTTTAGTTTGCATGTTGTTTTGGAGATAATCTCCCTAACTGGGTTGACCTCTATCTCCAGATCCTCTTTTCTCTGCCATCTAAGTAGCTGGGATTACAGGTGCCCACCACCATGCTTGGCCTTACATCTATATTATTTACTATAAATGTTTGCCTGATTATGAAATATAGTTAAAATCACAATACTATTACAATTTGCAAAGCCAAAAATAAATACCTAAATTTCAACAATACATTGGCTACAAATTTTATGTTGACCAGTTATGACATTTATGGAAATTAACTTGAAAATACGATCACTATGTCCATTGATATCTCATTTGACATGTTTCAAATAGACAACGCACTTACAACTGAACACAGAGCACAGCATTTTAACAATGGCATGAATAAAACTTCATATGATGGCATCAGTGAGCACCATTTATCATCACATTACTGTGACCTTCTCTGGGGAAAGTTGAGGAAGTGTTTCCTCAATTCCTTCTTCTAGAAATTGGCTCTTTTCCCAGCCCTTTTTAATTCTTTTAAGCTTTCGGTTGATGCACGGAAGGAGTAAAATGATCTTACCCACAATTACAATGGAGGGCAAAACAAGAGCAAGAACAAAGTTTGGTGGTGTATAAAACCTGTAGTACTCTTCTTCAAAAGCTCGCTTCCACCCGTAAATCAAAACATGGAATGTACTTATGAGTAAGGCCACATAGCCAAGTGTAGACTTGGGGCAAGGAAGAAAGGAAAAAAGAGAAATATAACAAAGAAATAAATTATTCACTCTCATAAATTAATCTATATACAGAGAATGTTTATATTTTGATAAAACTACTTTGTCTAAAGTTGATTTAGCTACTCTTTGTCCTCTGCTGAATTAGGCAATTTAAAACATTTTCATCTATTTCCTATAGACAAATACTGACATTATTTATTTGTGATCTTTATTTTATGCTAGTAAGAGTATATTGGTATATACACACATGTATATGTATAATATATATATACTAATAAAGGTATATGTTTAATAGTCTGAGTATTTTACTTATATCATTAAGAAAATGATTTCACAAGGCCTATTCTAGGTATATGTAGAATTATCACAATGCAACACCCTCATTAATCTATACTACTTCAAAAGTTAAATTGAAAAACATTTTCGTGTCATTGCAAAATGACAAGAAGATGTTAACAATAAATAATGTCATGTTAGGCCTTTTCTATATTTTGGTTATTTCCTTGGAACTGATTTCTACTAGTGGAATTGTTGATTCAAACATGCAGCTTTTCCTTCAGGATGTTGATATACATTGCTAAGCTCTTCTTCATAAAGATTATTACAGTCCTACCAGTTATGCATATACATGACCTATACATATATAAGAATATATATGTATTCATATAGATGTACGTACATATGGTATATATGTACGTACATCTATGAGTATATATATAACACTAACATACACAGACATATATACATATACTACTAAGAGCAAAATTTCAAAAATCCTTCAATATTAATCTATAAGTAACAATTCAAATATATACACATTGACTACACTGAGATTATTCAGAGTATTTAACTTTGTACCTTAAGTTTTAAAAGGCCAGCATTTTTCAGTTTCCTAAATTATTATGTTTAACACAGCTTACTTGAGAAATGATTGATGTTACAGAAAATATTACATCATTAGAATGATGTAATGTCTACTTCACTAGGAAAATACCAAGTCTCCAGCAGGCATAATTTGCAGCTACTCATCTAAATCTATAATGACAATATGCATCTCTTTACTACCTGTTATCAGAAGGCCTGCTATTTCTTTTCAGGTGTGATTAAGCTAGCATTTTGGAAAGTATTCTCCTTCTTTTTTTTTTTTTTTTTTGGTTGGTCATGGGGCTTGAACTCTGGTCCTGGGCGCTGTCCCTGAGCTCTTCAGCTCAAGGCAAGGGCTCTACCACTTGAGTAACAGCGCCACTTCTGGTTTTCTGGTGATTAAGTGAGATGAGTCTCATGGACTTTCCTGTCCAGGCTGGCTTTGAACCACAATCCTCAGATCTCAGCCTCCTGAGTAACTTGGATTACAGGCATCAGCCACCGGCACCCAGATCCTTATTTCTTAAGGATAAATGGATCTAGGCAAAGGTATGCCCTTAATTTGAATGAGATTGTTATATATTTTTTAAAGCCCAAAATAGGTGAAGAATAAAACTTGGTGTAAAATCACATGAAATTTGATGGTTTGATTTGTTCTATACACCATTTGGAGACAACAGATTTTGTGATCAAATAGGTATAGTCTGAATTTGCATTATGAATTTTAAAAGTCTGCAAATTTATTTTGTAGACATTACTGGAGAAAATGAATGTGTAACTTTTTTTTTTTTTTGTCAGTTGTGGGGCTTGAACTGAGGGCCTGGATGCTGTCCTTGAGCCTCTTCCTGCTCCAGGATAGCACTGTACCACTTGAGTCACAGAACCATTTCTGGTTTTTGAGTGGTTAATTGGAGATAAGAGTCTTATGGAGACTTTTCTGCCCAGGCTGGCTTCAAACCACAATCCTCAGATCTCAGCCTCCTGAGTAGCTAGGATTACAGGCGAAAGCCACCAGCACTGGCGAATGTGTGACTTTTTAAAGAACACAATGGTGTTCTGAGATCCCTTTATATATACTTTTAAACATTAGTTTATGACTGATATCTTAAATACATATACTAACAAGACTCACAAAGTTGGCTATCATAATCAGTTACCTAATTGCATGTAACACATGCATTAAAAAATATTACCTTTTCTCCACTTAAATTAATGAAGATTTCCTGCTCTTTAGACTGATCAAGATGACTCAAAATATATAAAATAACTTACTCATGTGGCTAATACTAAACTGTTTTAATTTGATCTAAGATTACTCCTGTCTCCATTTCATTCTTTTAAATAATCTTTATTCTTAATATTGTAGACAGTGCTATCATAGTCTTCCTTAACAATGAAAACTAGTCTTTCTCTTATTAAACAGACTTAACTGCCCTAAGCTGGCCTGTAGAAGTATGTGTTGTTTGAGCAAAATATATAACCATGGCCACAAAGACACTGTTTTTGTAAGGAGCATATTTAAAATTCAACCGTACTTAACAATTAAATTCTAAACTGTGCAATCCCTTAACAAACAAACCCCACCTACCTGAATAAAACTGAATTCCCTCCAATTTAAAGCATTGCTCACTGAAGGGATGGAAGTGACTGCCAGAAGAGAAAGTAAGCCAAGGCTCATTATGCCAAAGGAGATATACATTTCAATTCTCCAGACCTCTTCCTCATTCCAAGAGTTTTCAATATTTGCATGAACCTAGCAAGAAAACAAATGTGATTTTCTTTTATTTGGTGGGATTTGAACAGATTCAGTCAGTAAGAAGAACTGGGTAACAGATGAACATATTTAAGTTGTATTCCTGCAAACTATTATGGAAAACACATTAGTTTTGTATTGTTTCAAGTATAAGGGAAAGGGAAGGAAATGTTAAATAAAATCAGGACTAAGACTTTCTCCTTCTGGGTAACATTGATCAAGGTGCACTCTGTTTGTGCACTGTATTCATACTTTGTTAAATGGCAACTCCTTTGTACAGCTATTTAAGATAATAAAAAATATGCATTTAAAAAAGACTTTCTCCTTAGTGTATACAAGAAGAGGACATTTCCCTCTTTTGCCATAAATGCAAGGAATCAGAAATTCTGGAGTCCAAAGCTGGTTTCCTGGACAAGAGAAAAGAGGCCTTGGTAGATTTAGTTCTGAGGTATTTTTATATGGTAGTTTAAACTTGGTCAAACAGTTTGGTACATTGTGGCCTTAGTTTAACTTACGTTACAGGCAGGGGTTTTCTATATTCTTTCTTTCTCTCCTACCTGTATATTATGTTTGTATTGATTTATCTCTCCCTTTTTTTTTTCCCCAGGAAGCTGGGATTTTCTAAGGTAAAAGCTCTATGGATAATATCTTACAAACTCCAATTGCCTCATTCTGTATGTACAGTTCTTTGAAACACCTTTCTCTTACATCGATAATGCATATATAATCAAACCAGACAATGAATTTGTGATCACTTGGATAGGAAATACTTTCAGAATTGTTTATGTACTCACAAAGAGTATATTAGAGCTTAAGTCAAGAGCGGAATTCTTTTGGTTGAAGTTTTGAGTTAAGTAACTTCATGGAAACATTCTTACAAACATCATGTTAACTCTGCCTAAGTTTAGTTGGAAAAGCATAAACTTTTTCAAAAGCTATGTCTTAGCCATTTGTTTCCTGAAGCAAGAATGACAATATCCTGAAAGAGCTAAAGAGCTCCATGGCTGAAGAAAGATCTGCTTGTTTGATATCTACCCCACACTGCAGTGTAATAGATACTCTGATATGCCTAGACACTACAACTAGACTGATTTTCCTCCTAATTCAATTCCTCATCTCACAAATACGCTTCTTGAGTGTCTGCTTTATCTAATCACAGCATTAGACATTGGCTTGGTATCTGTGAACGACACAGAGACCTCATACAATCCAATGGAGTGGGCAGACAACAGTAAGTATAATGAGGAAAACATAAAGTGTGTTATAAGAGTAATAAGTACATTTGAAAAGAAAAAAAAGAAGCCAAGAGGCTCTGAGAGTCCTGAGCTGCATTGGGTGCGTATGGCAGGGTTGAAAGTGTCCACTGTAGGTCACATTAGAAGAACTGAGGAAGCTAAATATACATATATCAAAACCTGACGTATTCCAAGGCCAGGAGGGGAGATGCACATCTGCAATCCTGGCTTCTCAAGGGGCAGAGATCGGGAGGACTGCAGAGGCTAACCCAAACAAAAATGTTAGCAAGACTGTATCTCATTAGATGTCAGTGGTGTGTACCTCAGCTACTGTGGATGTGGAGGGGGAGCGAGCATAGTTCGAAACCAGTCCTGGGGGTGAGGGTGGGGTGGGAAACACAAGGCCCTATCTAAAATTATTATTAAAGTAAAAAGGAATGGAACTGTGGCTCAAGTGGTAGAGCACCAGCCTAACAAGTTCAAAGCCCTGAATCCAACTTTCCCCCTCTCAAACCTTACTATTCAGCTAAGAGAAGTAGAATTTTCAGAGAGCAAATGACTTAAAGGACATGAATCTACTTACTTTACAAAATGTATTTTAGGTTTTATTGTTGAACCTTATTTAGATAAAACGTACTTCAACTATGTCTAATCTTCTTATATGTATACACACACACACACACACACACATAAAGGTGTTTACACATTTGTTTTGATGCAATGTCTGGCTTTCACTGAGAAATGCTACATCAAACATTGCAGTAAAACCCTGTGCTTTCCATCTGTGCGATGGGAGTTAGTGAGCTCAACCTCTACCTCATCACCAAGCCCTTCCATGAAGCTCTCTTCAGGCTTCTCTTGGAGAGCTAGGTGCTAGGAAAGCTTTATGAGAGAAACTAGTATCTTTTCTGCTCTTTCATAATAAGAATTGTAAGTAGCAGTTTCTCCGTTTTCACTGCATCAGACAGGAGCAGTATAGACGCAGCTATGCAGCCAGCAGAGCTAGCCACTTTTTCACTTTATCTTGATTCTTTATTTTGTTTTATATTTTCACTGGTTCTAGTTTTATGTGTGTTTATTACTGAAAACTTCATTAATAGTTTGGGCACCATAGAAAGTTAAAAAAAACTATTAAAATAATTAATGTTATAACATTAACAGTGTTATCATTCAATAGTGTAAACAGGCTCGGAATGTGGCTTAGTGGTAGAGTGCTTGCGTAGCATGCATGAAGCTCAGTACCACATAAACAGAAAAAGCCAGAAGTGGTACTATGGCTCAAGTGGCAGAGCGCTGGTAGGGCACCAAGAGGCTCTGGGACAGTGCCTAGGCCCTGAGTTCAAGCCCAGGACCCGGAAAAAAATGTTGAAAACAGTCAAAATCATAACATATTCTTAAAAAGGGAGGATCCCCACACAGTTCTTACCTTCTCTTGTATTCTGCAAAGAAGGGGATGGTCTCTGCTTTTACCCTAAATGATTTACAATTAGCCACATTCTCACACAAAAAGAGTGTTTAAATGATCATTCTTTCCCTTCCCTAACTAAACCAAAGAAAATTTCCATTCTGAGAGATTCTTACACCATTTACACTTCATATTTTACAGCTCATATTAATAAAGCCTTTTACTAGAGGCAGAGAATTAACAAGCACATCCAGTACCTGCTGATAAGCCATGTTGAGAAACAAGTATCTTTCTGACCTTCTCATGGGTAAGCAGAGGCTGTAGGCAACATGGACAACAGCGAAGAAAAAGCTCAGTAACCCCAGCTGTTTCCTGCACTGTAACCAGGTCTCCAACCAAGGCGGGAATCTTCGATACTTAGTACCATAATACAGCTGATAGGCAGCTGCCAGGAGACCTGCTAGGTACACCAGGGACAGCAAAGTGATAGCAACAATAGGCAAAGTTTTATTCACAATCTCAATAGGAATCTTGTAGAAGTCACTCTGCTGGTTTCTTGCATATGGATGTATCACATCTCTGACAAAGGAATAAAGAAAGAAAAATGTGGCCAAGCTTATGGCTACCACCACTGGCCCTCTCCAGAGAGTAAACAGTCGTAGGGGCAAATTTTCAATCTCCCTGGCTGCTGACAGTGATCCCAAGTCAACAGGAATGAAATTCAGCTGGCGAGCAAGCTCAATAACTTGTTGACGAGCTTGGATGTTGTTGCTGCATATATATACCTGAAGGAAAAAGGAAGAAAGCTTATTATTACTATTGTTGTTTATAAGCATGGCAGTGATCACTTTTCCCACGTAAACTACAGTGCATCAGTTGTAAGGCAAGCACTCTACCACTGAGCCACCTTCCCAACCCCAGTGGATCAGTTGTAACGACCTTGAGTGGATTCAACTGATTAGAGATGAAGCATGAATTTACAAATCTGTCTTTTAAAAAAAGATACAATTATTTTATCACCATGTTTAATTTTAGTGCATACGCACATAAAGACTTTTAAGATGAACTATCTTATTTGCTTACATTTAGAAGTTCTCGTTTCAGAAGCATTGATAGAACTTGCCATTTGCTTCATTCTCAAGCTGAAGTAAAAATTACTATCCATAGACTTGTATGGTAAAAGCAAATCTAAGAAATCCAGTGTGAAGTCTGAAGGCAGTGACTCCTTAACTGTAAGAATCCCAGCTATGAAAGAGGCAAGGATTTGGAGGATTGTAGGTTGAGGCCAGCGTGGGCAAAGAGTTAGCAAGTAAGTCCCCTATCTCTACATTAAAAGCTGAACATTTTGGTCCATTTCTGTTATTGTAGCTATGTGGAAGGCAGAAGTAGGAGAATCATAGTCCAAACTAGCCCAGCCCTTCCTCCCACAAAGAAGTGAGACTCTGTTAAGAAAAGTAACTTATGCAAAAAGGGCTGAGGTTTGTCTCAAATGGTGGAGCACTTGCCTAGCAAGTACGAGGTAGTAAGTTCAAACCCCAGTATTGCTTCCCCTCTGCTCCCCAAATCCCACCTGCTTCCACTTGCCACATATGGATCAAGATTTTTGCTTCAACCAAACTGTGGTATTGTATATTCTGTGGCTATTTTAGTCTATGTAAAATAAAAAAAGGTTCTTCTTAAGAATGATATTAAATAGCATTTTATTCAGAGATGGAACATTGTGTTACCAAGTCGCTGCAGGAAATGAGAATGAAAGAGCTAAGGAGGGAAAAGAAGGACACAAAAGACCTATTATTTTTGCAGTTTATTTGGTTGTAATGAGGCTAGAAGTTAGTCTTGTACTTGCTAGACAGGTGCTCTATCACTTGAGCCATGCCCATAGCACCTGTAATCCTCTTGGTCTTGCTTTTTCAAATAGGGTCTCATGGTTTTTCTTGGGCTGCCTTTGGACCATGCATCTCCATTAGCGGGGCTTATAGGTAGCTTGTGCCTGTGATTAGCATATCTGTTGAGATACAGTATTGCTAGCTTTGTGCCTGGGTTGGTTTTTAACTATGACTTTCCTTATCTTTACTGAGTGGCTGAGGTTAGAGGTGTCAGACACTCACTCAGTCACTTTTATTGTTTTGCAGAAGCCAAGAGAGTAAATGCAATGGGACACACTGCTCATCAACCCTGCCTTTTCTTTAATTGGTGATGACAGAAAAGTCCATGTTATTTAATATGCTTTCCATTTCAGTTTGGGAATGAAAACGTACTCTTACAAGGTCAAGACGTTATCTTCATATAATCATCCCAAGTTTTGAAATAATCATTGGAAAGTGTCAGAATTTGGTTTCTGAATGCCCAATATTTGATCAACTACCAAATGCCATTTAAACAGTAAAAATTAAGAGTACTTACCTGGCGGCTGGCATCCTTAGGTCCTAATTGAAGTGCCCACGCTGAGACTACATTAAATCCTTTGACAATCAAGGAATCTGGGAATAGTGAAGCCAGGTATTCAGCATTGGATTCGGGGTATTGATTTATCCTCATGTTATTGCTCACATCAATCAGGATTTTACCCACAAGCAGGTGTCTCAGGTCCCACAGGGAGGTGTAATGTTCTCTGTGTATAGCAACAAATATTATATTTGTTTTTGTCAGAGCATCTTCATGATGGGTGACATCTACCACATGAGGAAAAAATTCAGAGGCAAACTTGGGATTTCTACTTCCTATGACCACATGATAGCCACATCTAATAAGACGAATGGTCAGAGACTTGGCAAAATCTCCACTTCCAATCACACCCACGGTCACTTTCCTCGCATCTTTGATACCATTTATGCCATTAGGCAGAAAAGTTTCACTCAGACTTTTAGGGCTTCCCATCATAGAGATTGATTCCATGATACAGGCTCTCCTCAAATCACCAGGAATGTCCTACAAGAAAGAAAATAAGATGGTCACCAATTGCCTGTTAGCAGACACTAAAGCATTTCTAGGTACTGTGATTTTGTCTTACAGGTACAATATTGTATGACATGTAATACAACATGAAAACCAGCAAGGCAGAATTTGTAATCTAGAGAAGATATCTAATTAGAAAAATTAGTTGTCACAAGGCGATATGCTAAAGTGGGACTTCATGTGTTCACAAAGCACCTGGAACTCTTGTTAAAATGAGTGAGTGGAAAGGGATGCCCAATGTTCTATATTTCTAACAACGTTGATGCCAATGCTGCTGCTTTGCAGACCCTCCTTTATACAGCAAAGCAGTGGGGCACAAAAAGAAAGAGACTTAAGTTTTCACACAGAACTTTAAAAACTAAAAACAAAAAAACCCCACATTTCTAACAAGCATGATACCCAGCAGCTCAGCAAAATAGACAGCAGGAAAGAAATACCATAAGAGGTAAAAAAAACAGGGCCTTGGTACTAAGTGATAGCTCACAAGGAAATAGGAAAACCACAAAACAAACAACTAACTATGTAAACCAAAATTGTCTGGAATCATTTGAGATGAAGTTTATAAAACACCCTGTTCATCTGAGTAGGTAGTAACTTTTTCATAAAATGAGAGTATGGTAAATCAGCCAATTAAAAGAGAAAAAAAAACACCTGACACTTACATACTATTTTTAAGGAGGTAAGTATCAAATTTTTTTTTAAAAAGGAGTGATTAAATAACATCACTGTCTATCATTGATCCTATGTCCTATAACTTACCATTAAGTAGCTTCTCTAAAGAAAGGGGGTTTAGTAATAAGTTCATGGCTTTAACTTACACAATACTTTAAAATCTTGTTTTCTCCCTTTCATTTGTTGGTTACAAAGACTATAACACAGTTATTTTTCTTGGAAAACAGTTAGACTATTTTTTATTAACATCTCAGATATTCATATCAATATTAACTTGCTCAATAATGCAAATAATATGGGCATGGATCAGTGTCATTGTTGGTTCTGATGAAAAATAATGTATCATTCTATCCCCAGGGTACAGTGACTTTCATGCTAACAGCTGAGGCAGATCACTTCTTGAGAGAATTCAATGGATATTACATGCATAGAAGGGATATTTAAGAAACCATTTTGTTCAGTTTTTAACTGGAATTTGAAACAATTGAATTTAGGAAAATGCAACCTTGATCCTAGAAATTAATCACACCCAATGACTACAAATACATCAGCAAATTACACTTTGGAAAGGCAATACTATCAGTAATGTTGCCTCAAGCTCATTCCTATGTAGTAACATATAGTAACCAAATCGACACAACTATACTGTGAACTAGGTGCTACTGCCATGCTCAGTAGGTATATGAGGAAACCTAGACAATCAGAAGAGAATTGTTTGTCCTGAGTCTAAAGGGAAAAACTGGAAGATCTAGGATTAGAACCCTGGCATTCTACCTAAGGCATGTATCATCGAGTGGATGTTAGGAAGAAAAAGGTTTTTGCGGGGGGTGGGGGGAGAGGGTGGCTATGGGGAGCATGGTGAAAGTTATAGTTATCTCCATATTATTATATTATTTCTCCTTTGGCCATCTTATCAGCTACTCAGAAATATCCAGTGATCTTAATGTCTTAGATCCTGGGAAAGGAGAAAACTCACTGTTGTTGTTTTTTTAAATATCTGTTGCATATTTCATTTTGTTTCAGTATAGAAACAGTAGTAATTATCTGCCTTCCACTGGAGGAGTCCCATACATCCAGAAGATTGGAGAGGGGGCTATCAGAGGAACTGAGGTAGTCCAAAGTGGTCAACATTTTCCTGGAGATACTGTTAGCAATTTGGGGGATCAGGGACAATTAAAGGAACCAGAAGTTATGAAATCAGTATTTATTTCATTCAAAAATTAGGGATGAAGTACCCATCTTCACTCATATACATCATATATCCTGTAAAGAAGGTACCATATTCACATACAGTCTCAGTCCTGTATATATATACACACACATATGTATATAGGTATATGTATATATACACATACATAGATGTAATATATATCATAGAATTTAAGATATATTAATTTAAAAATCTTTAAATCCAATGATCATGATCATAAGGCCTTAACAAAGTAAAAGCAAAACAAAAACCTGCTAGATGTCTATTTATTTTACAAAGCATGTTCTAACTCCTTTAAATCAGAGTGTGAACAGGTAAAAATACATTAGGACCTAATAATATCATCAATGGGTCCCCAATTAAAGCACATACAGTACACATACTATATATGTGACTCTGGTGTAACATGTTTGGGCCTTCTTCATATGGTATTCCTAATGACAAGTTCTAACTGGCCCCTTTAAAAATAGGCCTGTGGCTAGAATGGTAATTGCACTAATAAACAAAACTCTTTCATGAGAGTGTCAAAGAATGTAAATGCATCAGAGAGAGAGAGGGAAGACAAAGAAAAAGAGAGAGGGAGGAAAAGGAGAGAGGGAAGAGGAAAGAGCAGGAAAGATGGAAAGACCAAGGAAGGAAGAGAGAGATAAATCGATAGTGGATCTGAGATGTGGATTGCGTATTGCTGAAGCACAGACAGTAGGTTTACTATTTATAGTAAATTGAGGGTTTTCAGAATAATATTCCAATTTAACTCTCAAATGGCTATAAAATATATAACTATCTTGGGGGGGAGGGGAGCGGGGAGGATTGGGTGGGGGGGCAGGGGAGGATGGGAAGGGATGGGAAGGGTAAACAAAGGAGGAGGCTACAATGCTTGATAAGAAAATGTACTCATTATCTTGCCTATGTAATTGTAACATATCTGTACAGTATTTTCACAATAAAAAATATATATAACTATCTTAAAGATAAGGCAACAGAGGCTCAAAGAACATCAACTGTTCACCCATGACAGTGCCGTTGGCAGTGACGGCAACGATTCAAATACAAGCATCCTCAGACTGCAGTGCCAACATTACATGGGAAGCCTTAAAACTGCTTAGCATCTCCCAATGTCATCCATAACCTATACTTTGCAAAGATAATACTAACTTTAAATAGCTAAAACTATGAATCTCAGTTTAAGCTACTTTTAGATAAATCCATAGCATATATGCTTGGGAATTTTAGCTACAAAACAGATTAAACTATGATAGGAATAATTATTTTTGATAAAAACACTCTGTGAATTTATTAATGCTTCAAAACACAACATGACCGGTTGTTGTATAACTTTTTTTGTGTGTGCCAGTCCCAGGGTTTGAACTGAGGCCTTAAGGTCTGTCCTTGAGTTTCTTTTGCTCAAGGCTAGTTCTCTACTACTTGAACCACAGTTCCACTTCCAGCTTCTTCCATAGCTCAGTGGAGGTAAGTGTCTCAAGGGCTTTCCTGCCTAATTAACTACCAAAAAACTAAAAGTGGAGTTGTGCTTCAAATGGTACAGTGCTAGCCTTAAGCAAAAAAGCTTAAGAACAGTGCCCGGACTCTGAGTTCAAGCCCCAGGAATGGTGCACATACACGTACAAACGTACACACACACACACACACACACACACACACACACACACACGACTAATATAATCATTTAAGAAAAAATATGTGAAAAACTTTAGTACATTTCCATTGATAAGGAATGAAGCAAGCATAATCTCATGGCATATCTACTCTGCTGTTGCTAATATGATTTTTTTAATGGTCATTGTATGCTTTGTTCATCAGAGATAAGGACATGGTGCTTATACTTAAAATTTTTACACTCTCATCAGGGAAAGTCAGGGTGTACCTGTAATAAAAAAGAGTATAATAATAATAATAAACACTTATAGAAGTATAGCTGTGGCTCAAAAGTGTGAGTGCTAGCCTTGAGCAAAAGAGTTCAGGGACAGCACCTAGGCACTGAGTTCAAGCCCAATGAACAACAAAAAAATCAATTTATAATAGGAATTAGGTTCAGTGGTACTCACTAGACACTGTTGAAAATGAACTATATAACTTGTGAGTGGGGACAGGAGGGAAAAACTGGGAGAGAGCAAAGGAAAAGATAACAATATCCAAAAAGAAATATACTTATTACCTGACTTATGAAACTGTAACCACTCTGTACATCACCTTTACAATAACAATATTTTTTTAAAGAAAGAACTAGATTGTATGGTCAACGCATGCCCTAGAAAATTAGAAAATATTGCGTGGTGTTTCTTCCTCTCCTTCAAGTCATCTTTTCTCTTTCTTTCTCTCTCTCTCTCCTTTGCCCCTCTTTTTTCTCTCTTTTCCTCCCTCCCTCTCTCTCCCTTTTCCTGTTCTTTCTCCTCTCTCTTTCTGTATGGATGTGTGTGTGTGTGTGTGTGTTTGTGTGAATAAACTCGTATTTCCAAACTAATGTCTAATTCACACAATTTCCACAGGGCACTATGAATGCATATGAACTTAAAAGAAGAAAGGCCTCAAAGTAAATTTAGCATTCTGTAGCCATGCTTTGAAAATTCTGTGGCATTGTTACCTAAGGAACAATTTAACAATCTATGGCAAGAGTAAGAAGTTTTTGATAAAATTATTCGACTTGTAGAATTATCTTTAAGTCTTTCCTACTTTGGAGATATGCCTTGTCTACTTTTAGAAATCGAATGAGATAGCAATTACGTAGTTCCTTTCCCTACTTTTTATTTAACTCGTCTATAAAGGCAACGAACAGTTCCAAGGGCTACTGTTTTCAAAGACATTAGGAGGCTCTCTATGTGAAAGTGATCCTTCACTTGTTGGCAAGAAAACTTTTCCTGAGAGTGAGAGTACACACGTGGAAACTAACCCCTGCAACTGAGGTATCTGCTTAATAATCCTGAGGATGGGGATGCATTCTAGACATGAAGTATCAACTATCCCAGCCAAGTTTTCTGTAATTAGATGGTGAGGTGTTTTTTTTTTTTTTTTTTCATTATTACATCCTTTGAGTTGCACGAAGATAACCCCTAATTCTCTTGGAAGTTAAATA